TCTCTCTATGGTAGGGGTATGGCAGTTGCATTTCTGTTCGCTGAGAGAGCTCAGAGGCGATACCCCCCTAAATTCCGACTTTAGGGTCTGCTCGATTCTTCGCTTTAAGGCTCAGAGCTCAAAGATCTTCGGGGTCTCAAAGTGCTTGCAAAATCCGTTTTCGCTAGTATGAAGCTTCGAAACGGAGCGAGAGAAGAGCTCGAATTTCGCATGTGCTACGCAAGTTTCGCAAGCCCAAAAAAAACTTGAAACTCGCGTAGCACATGGCATGCGATCTGTTTCCGAAACTGCCAACGTGTAGCATGATTTTTTGACGCTACAGGGCATGTAGCACTGTAGCATGCGAAATTCGAGCTCTCTAAGCCCTCTCGCTCCGTTTCGAAGCCACATACTGGCGAAAACTTTGACGGAAGGCTCGCACTTTCGACCTCGAAGATCTTTGAGCTCTGAGTCTCTAAAGCGAAGAATCGAGCATCGCCTCTGAGCTCTCTAAGCGAACAGAAATGCAACTGCCACCCGTTTTCCTCATATGCGGGTGGGATGTACTTGTCTCGTAGCTGCAGCCTATGTGCATTGTTAACGCGTTGTTAAAGCTGCAATAGCCGGAGACAAAGCGCAAACATGTTGCCTTCAACGCAGTAGTGTGTTTTTGGCACAAGTTCAAGTTTTCCGTTCGCTGTCAACGTGGAGTACAAAGAAAAGTATGATAAGCATTCTTGGCACTTTGAAAGCCGCTTTGTCTGGAATCGACAGAAAAGTCTTTCTGGTGTGGGATACAGCAAACCCACACATCACCAAAATGTCCTTTTGGAGCTTGTGGATTGAACTTTCGAATTGTGCCTGTGCCCGCTGGCCTAGGCTTCTAGGCTGGCTGCAAGTCTTTGCTAAGATTGCCCACCAGAATTTGCGCAAGATTGCCTTGCCCATGTTATTCTGAGACCAAGTGCAAGTGACGCAGCTTTCAAGCTCTCGTGCGCCAGTCTCAGCCGTCCTGGATACCAGCTTGCATGCTGTTTGTCTTGACCCGCTGCCACGTCTTTTGCATGATGGACCACATGCCTCGCATCTTCTTTTGCAATTCCTCTGTAAGGCTGTCCACTTTGATTGTGCTGCACAAGTCCGTTTCGGCCGATTTTTCAGACTCATATTGCTTCTTCTTCCACAACGTGATTCTTCGCTCAAGCTCAGACAAATTGTCAGCCACGACAACAACTCCGAGTTCGCCTTCACGATGGGTTTGGTTTCACGCCGGGCTTCTTCTTCGCCCCAGAGAGTTCGAATCCCGGCTTTGGAAATCCATGTTCCGTCAAACTTCAAAGAGTGTTTGGGGCATGCTCCATCATCGACGAAGGGGGCTTGAAAAGGGGTTTCCCCGCTCTACAGCTCACCAAGAAATTGCTCTTCTAGTTTTAATAGCAGTAGCAGTGCTAGTATTTTTAATGAAGGAACCTGTGTATCTTTGCAGTAGTATGACTGGACTGGATGAGTGAAGTTACACACGCCACCGGGACACGGCACGGCGCCGTATTCCAGCACGAAAAGTTGTGCAGTGACAACAGAAAAGTGGGGCAGGAGGGCAAGAGTGCCGGATGTGGCATCCTTTGTCATGTTGTTGTTCTCGTTCTGCAGTTGCAAAGCGAGATACTTATCAATAAGCCCGAATAGAGAAAGATTAGTTTGTCCCGATTTGTCCCGCATTGTATGTTTTGGAAAGATTCATTTTCCCGCTGAGAATCATGCGTGTGTGGCAAGCAACAAGCATTTTCTTTGCTTTGTTCCCACCAATGCGGGCAAAGGCTTTTCTGGTCACATGAATTCAATGTATTGCAGGGAAAAAAAGGAAATGGAGATGGCGGAGAAGCCGAGACCAAATGGTTGTGTGGGTCTGTGATCACAGCTTGTCGGATGTGTGTGTATCCGTGGGTGGAAGGGTGGGTGTCTTGGCCGATCGGCGTTGGCGCCGTCCCAGCAGCAGGAATTGACGTGAAAGGTCGACGACATTGGCCTTCCAGTTGTTTCGGAAATTTTCGGAATGTTTTGTTAGCAGTTTGTGTCTTGATTTGTGTTGACAGGTGGAGATTACAAAAGTGCAAAACTGCATCGTTTGCACCAGCTCATCTGTTGAACTCGTGAAAAGCGCTTGGACCAACTTCAGAAAATACAACGAAGAACACCCGCATCCGAGTGTGCGATTGAGTTTAGCCTGTTAGATTTGCTGCATTTTTCCGCATCGAAAAACTTGTTGTGTTGCGAAAGGGATCTGGTAACTGATCATGTATTATGGATGTGTAAGTTTGGTGTGGGAGTTCAGAGCCATGAAATCAAGAGCGGAAGCTTGCTTCCGGAACTCGCACATCCGGTTCGGGTGCAATTGTGCATGTTATGCTGACTTCAATAGTGGTGAAGTATTGCATGCAGGTCGGGGAGCCGTGTGGGGGCATGCGGGAGCTGAACCCAGCATCTGGCCATAGAGATGCACGTGTAGCAGTCTATTCACAGAGGTGGGAATGGCTGGTAATGCAGTCGCAGCAGGAAGCTGTTTAGTCGTCGTCTTGTTGGTGTCGGCTTGTTATCATCTGAAAGTCCGGCGTGACGAAATGAGTTGCCGTCAAATGCTCAAAACCATGAGGATGCTAGGCCTGGGCACGAACGAGTAGCAGCTTCAAGACTTGCCAACCCTGTAGTTGCGAAACTCCACGTCATCTGCTGCGAAAGTCAGTTTAAGCACTTCAAACCACAGTGCATGTGGATTGAAGTTTTCGGCAGAAGGTCAGGATTCGTCAAGACAGCCATCCGCATGACCTTCGACGACTGAGTCAGCAACTGTACCGACATGGAATGGCGGAAAGTGTTGCTGGCTGCTGGTACTGCCGCGTGTGCAACTGCCGTTATTTGGTATTTGCGGAAGGCTCGAGCACAGTGTTGGAAAGCTGGCCCTTCGTTCAAGCGCTGGCAGGTTGGGTCCAAAACCTTGGCTGCAGATGATGTCTTTGGGGAGGAGCGCGCGCGGTGCATGGTCTTGTTATTCGAATTGAGCGGTGTCGTTGATTTTCTTCATGGTCGTCTTCTGAGTCCACAGGAAGACAAGCAGAAGAGACATGACAGCGACGACACTGAGGATCTCTGGTTGGGACTGAAAGTCTTGTTTTGCCTGAATGCCATTTATGAGAAATGTTCATGCCCGCAGGGCACGGCCAAAGAGCAGCTCAAGCAGATTTTGAAAGAGATGATCAAGTGTCAGGTGACAGCTTCAATGTATGTTTTAGACATACATGTCCCCAGTGTCCTCCAGTCGGTGTTTATGTGACAGGAGCAAATGAAGAGTTTCATCAAGGAGCTGACACAGGAGCTTGTTGCTTTCTGCGGGACACAGTGTTCAATCCCATAAGCAAGTTTGGAAAGGGGGCTGAGCAAGATGCGCAAAGTGGCATGTCCTATCGCAGGATCACATGACCAGTGAGAGTCGGTTGCTGCCACAGTCGTGACCCATGTGACATTGGTCTATGTGTGGAGGATGTTTGACCATCTCGTACTGCGTCGCATGTCATCTCGCCTTGATAGCATTTCGCGTAGACTCAGCGTAGACATGCACATGCATTTGTTTAGCAGGTGCAACTCTGCTGATTGGTCTGGACGTGTGAAAAGGATTTATAATTTATGATAGCAGTCACAATGAGAGTAGCAATAGAGCGAGAATAATCGTTATATTGGCTCTATGAAGATGAACGATCGACTCAACACATAGAATATCAGAAACATCAACAATCGACATAATGAACAACAAATGGCTGTTACATCATAGTCATAGCCTATTCACTTTGCTTGTTGCTTTTACTTTTAAGCACGAGTCTTGTTATTGTCCATGGACACGCAGCTGTGTAGCTATATTATGCTGAAGCATATACAAGCACAGATGCACTTGCATAATCGATCCCTAGCACGATGCGCAAAGGAGCTTGGCACGACAGCGTTAAGCTTCCATGAAACCTGTCAGCGAGTGAAGCAAGTGCAGCTGCGAGCTCAGATGAGATGGATCCGTGCCGCAAGAGGAAGATCTCATGGCATCTCGGAAGTCCTCGTGCGTTGCATGTTTGACGAGGCCAGCAGACCCCTTGGAGAGTCGTGGTTTGCCAGAAGCTGACGTGGCAACTTCCTTTGTATCGAAGCAGAGCTTAGCATCATCGCTGCCCTCAGGAAAGTCATGGACTTCGACAAACTTTTGTTGAAGCACCAGCATGACAGTGATGTGCGCCAGAGTCCCACACGAGCGTTCAAGCAAGTTCGTTAAGAAGCACCAGCAAAGTTCCACACGAGCAAGAGCAAGGTGATGCCATTGCCAAAATCATGGGTGCGCAGGGGGCTCAGGTTGCTATAGCATGCAAACTGTGAGTTCGGGCTTCAGCAGCTTTTATTGGTGACTAGGTAAGCGCCATGCAAGGCCCAATCCGACAAACGCTGTGTCCGACAAGATCCAGGCCGTCGTGCCTTCCTTTCGCTCGTGAACTCTTTACCTTCTTGCTCTCTACCTCCAGTCCATCAGCGTGAAAGACATTATTGATATCCACACATTCATGCTCCAGGACGCGCGGGCTCTCTGTCGGATCGCAGGGACGCGCCTGTTTGACCAGGAGCTGCAGCAGCTCATTAAGGAGTACACCGGATCCGACAGCAAGGAGGCCTGCTCCCTGGCCTGGTGTCCGAGTCGACCTCGCCCCAGAATCAAAGCTTTTCTTGGGCAGCTCAGGCCTTCGACACCAAAACGGTGACAATTGCCGCGCAGGCGTGTTGCAAATGGCATCCTTTCAGAAAGAGCTGAGAGGCGGCCTGCTGCCACTGTGAGGCGATTATCGGCTCCAAGTTTGAAACCCAGTTCGGCTTGACGTCAGAGGTTCTGGGTGGATGTGCAGATATGCGCAGCAATTTTGCACTTGCTCCGCAGGACGTTGAAAGCGCGGTGCTAATGTACCATGCGTCGGAAGCACAGCATAGCCAGCTGTACGTGCCGTCGTTCGTCTTCTTCCTGGGCTGGCAGTGTCTGCGTGAACCAGGAACTTGGCAACCGACCAGAACTTCGCCCAGATCAACATCAAGATCTCTCATGCAATGAGCCTGCGCCCGAAATCGGCCCAAGTGCAGACTAGCTTCCGGTCAGCAGTGCGAGACAAGGTCAGCTCCTGGGCACCCCGTTCACGCCGAGTTAAAGACGGCCTTCGCGCACGGAGCAAGCGAGTCCTTTCCAACTTTCCCAGATCGCAGTGCTATGAACCCTTGAGATGCTATGCCACGCAACTCAAAGCTGCATTGAGCACAGACCCGAGCTGGCTCACTAGCCATGGCGCCCAAGTTGCGTGTGGTAGCAGCTGCAGCTAGGTGAGCCAGTGATCCCTTGCTGATTAGGAGCACGGCGTTGCACAGAAAGCACCTTCGAAGCGATGTTGCCTGACGCACCATAACTGTTGCAGACCCCATTCACGAAGTGGTCTTTTTGACAGGGATCATTTATGTCAGACCCCCTTGAACTATGTCTTGCAGGTCTCTAAGGGTGAATCACACATGATCTGTCCGCATGGCAATGGCCCCCGCAGGCAGTGCAGCAATCAGCCATAGCCAAAGTCTTCAAGAGAGGCGAAAATGAGTCGTTGACCCCAGGTAAGGATGGCAATGCAGCGGGTGACTGGGCCATCAGCTGGAGCATCAGCGACTTATTCCAGGCTTGCTAGCAGTGCGTGCTGCTCGTAGTCCTGCCTGTGTGCACATCGAGCAGAGGCTCTACAAGCCGAACAGCGCACCTCTGCCAGCTTGAGGCGCAATCCTTAGAACTTAGATCCTTCATGACGATGATGCGAGTCGTTGCCCAGAATTGCCGCGGTGTTCGGCTTCTGCAGACAAAGGATCGATCGACTTGAACTCAATCCTTGAAAGTTTTTGGTTGTGCACATGTGCAAAACCTATTTGATGCTGACGCTTACTTTCCGACTCTCTTCTGCAAATCTTGTGGATGGGCAGGTGTGAGCTGCAGAAGGCCAAAGAAGAAATAAGTCATCTGCAGGTGCCAGACTCAGTTTGTGTTCCTAGGTAGCTAAGCATGGGACTCGTGGGTCTCAAAAGAGTCTTGGATTTCTGCTGCAAAGAGTTGCAGAAGCTGCACCCAGCGGGTGCACGGCCACCAAGAATACCGTACAGATTCTGCGCCGTTGACTCCTGACTGCTGCAGTGTACCCAGAGATCCGAAGCTTGATGCCACACTGACTCCCGTAAAAGATAGGTTCTGGTCTGGGGTTCGGGTAAAGGCTTGGGGTACAGATTAAGGTTTAGGGAATGGTGAGTGGGTGGGATTGATCCTTAAGTTTTTGTACATGTCAGGAGGTGCACACAGTGAAGAAGGGGGGGGAAGGGGGGGGGGCCGGAGAAAGGGCAATTTTATGGGTTTAAGGAGGGGGTGGGCTTCGTCAGGAAATTAAGGGGTGGGGAAAAAGGGATCCCTGTGAGAAACTCTGACCGCTTCGGCCGGGGTCGAGGCGAATTTTTGTTTTCCTTCAACGCCAGCAGGCGCACGTCAGCCTGGTACTTTCCTTGTCTTTTCCTGGGGCTGTTGTCGCCGAGGACTGTCTTCGACTGGAGCGCAACAGCAGGTGTGCACCGGGGTTTTGTGATCTTGCGTAATTCCCGAAGTCTGCCACGAGGTTCGTTCGATGTGAAGAGAGAGAAGCAAAGGCTTCGCAGGAGGCTCCCTTCTGTCTTGCTTCCGGGTTCGGAGCAATACCTAGTCATCGATTGTCTGGCTCCGGTAGGGTGCTCTGAGTTCACCTTCTGCGGCTAGCCACTTGTTCACTCTTCCCATTCGTTTGATCTGAAGCCTCCAGGTCTTAAGAGATCGTCTCAAACATTGGGTGACAGGAAGTGCAGGTCAAGTTTGAAGCCAGGTCTTCTCCAGTAGCTCGCCGTGCCACGGTTTGTCAAATCTCGTGAGTCGCACGATCAGGATCTTGCAGGGACTTGTGGACCAACTTGCACAGAGAGGGACTAGAGATGCAGTCCTGCGAACCATGCCAACAGGTCCTGCGACAGGAGGTTATCTCGCCAGAGGACGCACCAGTGAGTGAGCAGCTTCAGCAGCTTGAAGCGCAGCCACGTGCCGAAGTGTCGCACTCCCAGCAGCAGCAGCAGCAGCAGCAGCAGCAGCAGCCTGGTAATGGCGAATCTGAGGCTGGACAGACCTGAGCCGCCATACGTTCTAGAAACCGCACGGGCCTTGCCTCAAGCGGAGGCTGTTGAGCCGAGTGGCGACCACGCGGACGCAGCGGAGGCTGGGCTCGGCTCGAAGCTCGTCCTCGACGTTTCAGACCTTCGGGCCTCGTTGTTTATGCGCCAGGAGAATATCTCAAAGCCAAGCATCGGGCACTTGCCTTGGAAGGGAGTAAGCTTCCTGCCATCACGGTGCGATAGCCCAGAACTGGCAGGTTGGACAACTGTCCGAGCACAGCTTCGAAGGGCTCTTATGTAAGAGCTGCAGACAAGGTCGGTTGAACTGGGAGATTTTGCAGGCAAAGTCCCAGTTGAATTCAAAGCCCAAGACAGTTGGACATGAGGCAATCGAGAACCGTCTTGTTGTTGTGTAGCAACCGAAAACGGCGTAGCTGTCTCAAGCACTCTGGCTCGACGCGTCTTCGACGTCTAAAGCTTGTATCCTCTCGCGTCTTTCGCGCGTCGTATGCATCGGCGGCTACTTGCTGGTGGTTGGGCTGCTGTCGGCGCATCATGTGCCTGATCTCAACGACGCAGCCTCGGCGGCCAACAAGGTGATGGAAGGGCGGACCTACCCGTTCACCCTGTTGGCCACCGGCGCGGCTGGAGAGATGGCCTTTCAGGGCCAACGGCGACGACGACCGGCGGTTTGGTCGACATGCCGGAAAACTCCGAGGTCGATGCGCCCGGTGCGGGAGCGTAGCCGGAGCGTGATGGCCTTCCTCCTAGCGGCACGACGACCTCGGCGCGTACACCGATGGCGGCTATGCCGACGAGACCACCGACGCCAAGATCGACCGGCGCTCGACGACCATTCCCGACACGGACTCATTGGGAATGGATGGCGTGCGGCGGCTGCTGCTGATCCTGCTCGTGGCCACGCACTTGCAGCAGGCGGCGATACCGACGAGCCCCCCCAAAACATTCCCAAAGGATCCTTTGGGCTGCTCGAAACGGCGTCACGCCCCACCCAGGTTGCCTGATCGAGGACATGGCCGAAGAGACGGCGGAGTGGATGAAGGCGTGGGGCGGTACGGGCGACCCACTCGATGCCCGACAAGTCCGTGGTCGTCAGGTGTCGGTCCTTCTTCTAGCTATACCCGGACATCCGGAACCTCACCGACGACCCGACCCACAACTTCTCCACATGACCCCCGCTCCCGCTCTCCGCCCGGGACCAGCGTGGAAGAAGCGAACCGACGACGGGTACAGACACCTGGCGTCGATGGAGTCCTTGCGGCAGGTTAATGGTAACTATGTCCAGCAGAAGACGGCACCGCCCAGGATGGCGAGCACACCGAGACATTGCTCAATGTCATTTTTGGGTTTGCGGGGGCGCAGCAAACACAATGATCGCATCATGGGTTTCAAAATAAGAAAGTCATATACCTTGAAGCACGCCTGCCTGCACTGCTTAAAGAAAGGGGGGGGGGTTCATCATATATCTTAAACACACCCCTCATTTGCCAATTCCGGTTTCATCATATACCTGAAACACGCCCCCCCCATTCGGCGATTTCGGATGGCGATACCGTTTCATCATACATCTTAAACTGCCCTCTGATTTGGCGATTCCGGTTCAACATGTATCATAAACACGCCCCTGCATTTGGCGATTCCGGTTCATCATATATCTCAAACACGCCCACTCATTTGGCGATTCCGTTTCATCATACATCCTAAACACGTCCCCTCATTTGGCGATTCCGGATCATCATATGATTGAAATACGCCTCCTCAATTGGCGATTCCGTTTCATCATAGATCTTAAATTGCCCTCTGATTTGGCGATTCCGGTTCAACATATATATCTTAAATTATTAAACAAACCATCGCATTTGGCGATTCCGGTTCATCATATAACAGAAAAAACACACCCCTCTCATTTGGCGATTCCGTTCATCATACATCTGAAACACGCCTCCTCATTTGACGATTCTGTTTCAACATACATCTGAAACACGCCCCCTCATTTGGCGATTCCGGTCCCTCAGCTCGCCGTCCAGGATGAAGGCGTCTGCGTACAGCATCACCCTGTCCACTTCGTCGGGGACCAATGGTATGTGAAGCGCGGCCGTGCCGTCGGGAGGATGTGGGGCAGCATGGGACAGCGACGTCAACGCTGTCCAGTTGATAGGCTGTCGTCGCGCCGATCTGCCGCCCGCGCCGGGCACCTCACCGGCCATTGCCGGTATGCGTTGAGGAGGTCGTACCCGAAGACCAAGGGCGCGACGTCCGCCGCCATCGTACGGGCCAAGTCCATGAAGGAGCCGACAAAGTGGAGTGATGGGTCGGGACGTCGTCCGCCATGAGCGGATATATGATGAACCCGAATCGCCAAATCAGAGGGCAGTTTAAGATACATGATGAAGCGGAATCGCCAATTGAGGGGGCGTATTTCAATCATATGATGATCCGGAATCGCCAAATGAGGGGGCATGTTTTAGATATATGATGATCCGGAATCGCCAAACGAGGGGGCGTGTTTAAGTATTAATATGAGCACCAGCACCAGCAGCAGCAGGGGCACGACAAGCAGCAGCACTGCACGACAAGCACCAGCACCACCAGCAGTAAAATCCCCCAATAGCTTGATGTGCTGGCAAACCCGTGAAAGTAGAGTCCCCAACAGCTTCATGCACAGCCAAACCCTGAAAACTGGAATCCTCCAATAGCTTGACGCACAGACCCTGAAAAGCGGATTCCCCTAATGGCTTGACGCAGAAACAAACCCTGAACACTAGAATCCCCCAATAGCTTGATGCTCAAACAAAACCCTGAAAACTAGAATCCCCCAATAGCTTGTCGCACATGCAAATGCTGAGAACTAGAATTCCCCCAATAGCTTGTCGGACGCACAAAGAAACCCTGAAAACTAGAATCCCCCAACTAGCTTGACGCACAAACAAACCCTAAAAACTAGAATCCCCCGATAGCTTGACCCACAGGCGAACCCAAACCATGTCCCGCCAAACCTTTTAAAACAAAGCTTCTCGCCAAACCTTTCAATGACAAAACCCTCCACTTGGTCCAAGGGGCCGAATATAATCTCGCACCTAGGCTTGTGGCACAACAGAAAACAAAAACATATCGAGTAGAAACAAAAATGTCCTTAATATCCTTAATTAATTCTGCGTCCATTTCGTGGTCAGGCAAAGCCGTGCATGTGTCCAGCGGCCACTTTTCGGCCAAGGATTTGAAATTCTGCGCTGCAAGCCAACGATCTCATTCCAAGTCTTCGGCTTTGTTTCTCACGGTTTCTGCAGGCATCTGTCAAACATGCACCATGTTTTGGAGAAGCTGCCGTGACATCTCAGAAGCCCATAATTCGGACATAGACCATGTCATTGATTCATCTGCAGCAGGTCTATTGGGTGAGCTACGAGGATCCGCTTCAACTCATTCGGCTCCCAAGTGCCGGGGGCTTCTGATTCTGGGTGGAGTAGGAGGAACGAACACGACAAGTTGTCTGTTCTGAGGCTGAAGGCATTCGATCTTCAAGGCCGGTATTCTGACCGCCATGACAACTTGTTTTGGAGACTCTGTCGGAAGGCAAGGTGCGTGTTGTGAGTGTGCAGCCGGCCTTCCCCACGCCCCACACATTCGTCCTGCTTCCGTGAGCCAGAGCAATAGCCTCGCAAGCCATGGCAGATGAGAAGAAGAACGGCCTCACAGTTCTTGTGTGCGGAGGTGGAAATGCGGCGCAGGTGGCAACTTCAATGTTCGCTGCTCGGTACGAGACATACGCCATCTCCTTGTATGCAGACGAAGCCGCCAACTGGAAGCAAGCCATGAAGGGCCGGTGGCATGACAGGGTTGAAGGCATGGAGCTCACATTGGATACAGGCAAGAAAGTGGTGTCCATGCCGGCAGACATGACCAACGATCCCAGCATCTCCGGCAAGGCTGATGTTATCATCTTGGCGGTTCCGTCTTTCGCACATGGGCAATACTTTGAAGCCTTCTACCCGTATATCAAGCCTGGCACAATCGTCGCGTGCATGCCAGCCCGGTCAGGAGGTGATATTCTTTTTGCTTCCAAGATGAAGGAGAAGGCTGACAGTCTGGCGTTCGTTGGGTTCGAGACACTGCCATGGGCATGTCGTTTCACCGAGTGGGGCAAAAGGGCCACGATCCTCGGCACCAAAGGGCAGATTCTGGCTGCTGTCACGCCGGAGAGTAAGGCCTCCCACGCCATCGCAACTCTCCAGGGGCTCTTGGGCGTCTTTCCGGAAGTCCTGAAGAGCCCCAACAACTTGGGCATCAGCCTGCGCAACCCGGGACAGGTCATTCATCCAGGCGGGTCATCAGTCTGAAGCACGAATGTAGGGCTCTGTGATTGCATGTGCTGGTCACTTGCAACTTGCTTCTCGTGCTGCCCACAGGAGTCATGTATGGCCGCTGGTGTTCTGAGAAGTGGGATGGTCAGAAGTTGTCCGAAAAGCCTTTGTTCTATCAGGGCGTTGATGACTTCACAGAGGGTGTCCTCCTCGGGCTTTCTGACGAAGTGCAAGCAGTCTGCCGTAAGGTAGAGTCGTTGGTTTCGGGTTTCGACTTGAAGGATGCGTGCACACTGCATCAATGGTACTTGGACTCGTACAAAGGACAGATGGCGGATGACTCCACGCTCAAGTTGTCCATGAACACGAACAGTGCCTACACCGGCCTTACGCATCCCATGAAGGAAGTGGATGGTGGCTTCATGCCTGACTTGAAGTACCGATACCTCGCCGAGGATGTTCCGACAGGCTTGTGCTTTACCCGAGGACTCGCGGAGCTTCTGGAAGTGCCAACGCCCACCATGGACAAGGCAGGCACAAACCCACAAAGCGAAAAGAATCGGAGATCATAGTCAGGGACAGTACGCAGGGGTAGCCGCACTTGGAGAGAAGGAGACGGAAACCTTTCCTGGGATGATATCAACTGCTTCAGCTTCCTGACTTACCTATCTTCCTACGTTGCTATTTGAAGTGGACACTACAGTCACGGTCGTCCTCTCATTTGTGGGGTCTGTGAGAGCTATGGAAGGTAGCATAATCCAAGGAAGCTGATGGGGGAGGGAGGTGTCGGGCTTGTGCTGAGAGTGCTGAAGCCGCTGTTGCAGGCCGGATAGCTCTTTGGAGGGTCGAGGATGTTTGGGCTTGTAAGCTCACTAGTGAGCCCCTTAACGTACAATTGTCAGGTGATTACCTTCGCCCAGGAGCACCTCGGCAAAAGCTTCCTGACTGATGGCAAGATGGCCGGTGCCAACATTGGGGAAACGCGAGCACCGCAGGCTGTCGGAATCAATTCCAAGGAGGAGTTCTTCAAGATGGCCAAGATCGCCTGAGCACTTTGAGCAAGCTCCATCTCTTGCTCTTGCAGAGCTGAGCTGCTGGTGGAGCGCGCCTTGTAATAACGGCATCATGTGCGCGTGCACCGGCGAGCCTATTGCTTTCGGTGCTTTTCATCGTCTCAACCGCATTGGCAGAGCCAAGCGTGTGTTCGGACGATTCAACCAAGAGTTTGAATCAACCACTTACATAGTCACTGAAAGGTTTCAGCATTGTTCAAGGCAAGCGTTGCAAAGACTGTCTGTGTTGAATTGTTGCAACGGTGTCCTATCAAGATCTGTATAAAACTTTGACGGACCTTGTTCGTGTCAGGGGTCAGGAGGATGTTGCACACGAGGACACCGCGCAGGGCCGAGTTCGCATATATGTTCGGGAATGGCTGTCAAGCAAGCAGGCTTGTCATGTGAAGCTTTCAAAAGGTCCGTGGCGCGCTGAGCTCTTCCAGGCTCTTGAAACGAGAGGAGGCTGAGGTGCTCTTGTCAGCGCCTCGATCCGGTCATTCGCCACGCAAGTGCTGCAGTCAGTGGGACCTCAGGCCCGGCACCCCTGAGCGAAGGCCGCGGACCTAGGGAGGGCCAGAGAAATTCCTACAGAAGCTTCCGCTCGGAGCCGAGGCCACGTGCCCTTCGACCCCCGAGCCCGGATCTCGCAGACCCGCAGAGCCAAGCGGACTGCGATCGATTCTGCTTCTACCGGCGAGTCCCCGTCAGGTGCAGAGCGCTGCTTTTCGGCTCGGGGAGTGTTGCAAGGCGCCTGAAACGCGTCAACCGTTCTTGTGACGCATCCTTCTGGACAGGTCAAGGGGTGGCCGTGATGCAGGCAGCCATCGTGACAGTGACATTCGTGCATTTTGACCCCGTCGCCGCGTCTTGCAGGTGCCGATCACACGGACCATCACTCCAAGGCGGTGGCCTCCTGGACTCGATTCCCATCCTTGGCCTTGGCCGTTTCTGACGGCGGTTGACCGCTGGCAGGCCGGTGCCGGCCTTCAGTCATTTCGCGGCGCGGCAAGCTCGGCAGGTGCGAAGCTGAGCGCAGTTGCAGGAATTAGTCAGGAGACAGGGTCTGTATTCTGGCATTCGTTAGCAGCTTCAGCCCTTTGAAGCGTCATGAGGTTTCTCCACTGCCGTGGCAGGCTCAAAGCTTGCAGCCGTCTGAAAGGCCGTACGGCGAGCAATTTCATGCTCTCTATTTGTCAAGCGATCCCCGCGTGCTGTCGGAAAGACTTTTGAGCCTTGCTGCTTGCGCATGGCCAGGAGGAGATCGAGCTCAACGCAGTGCTTGCATGTCGTGTCCTGAGTGTGCAAGAAATTGCTTGCATGAATCCGCAGCCGAATGACGCTTGTGAGTGAGACAGGCGAGACACAGTCTGCTACAGCGGCAGAGATCAGGCCTACCTATGTTTGCTTGGAGAGGATTCGTCGAGCAAATCTGGCTAGCAAATCTGTACAGTCCTGCATACATACACTGTGACAAGCATAGCATCGGTCAGCTCTGAAGCCTTTGTCCAATCTTGTTTGTTGCGATGCTTGGTTACACAAGTGACTGCTGTTGGTTACCGGCTAGTGTGACGAAGAAATCAGAAACTGCGTTCCAGAATCATCATCAACAACAACAAGAGCACCATTAAGCCATTAAGCATCACCATGCATACCATCGGCATCCTCATCTACGTACGAGCATGCACATCATCGCCAGCGTTATCAGCATTTTTATCTTCGCCTTCATAAACCTCATCATAATAGCAACAGTACCAATCATCACAGTCATCACCATCATCCTCATCAGCACCATAGTCATCATCACCATTAATATGACCACCACAGTCGCTATCAGCATCATCATCTACGTACCAGCATGAAGATCATATGTCATAGTCATCGTCATCAAAATCATCATCGTCATAATCGTTAATATTATCGTGTTTTTTTTTAACATCGTGGGTATGATAACAGTAAGAAGAAGAACAAGAATAACAATAATAGCCGTAATATCATTTATAACAATAGTAACAGAATAGCAGCAACCATGGTCATAGTGAAGATTGTTAATAATACTAGTAGCACTAATAATCATAGCAATAAGAATAATAAATACATATATAAACAAACATAAAATTATTAATAATAACAATAATAATGATGCTAATAATAAAAATGGTTGTCATTTGTAGTAACAATACTTGTGATCGCAATCCGAATCATCATCATCATCATCATCATCGTCATCATCCATCATCCTCACCACCACCACCACCATCATCATCATCATCATCGTGATCACCATCATCATCATCATCGTCATCGTTACCATCATCGTGATCAGCATCATCATCATCGTCACCATCAACATGATTATGACCCCATCATTATCATCATCAGCATCATGCCACCAGCATTATTATCATCATCGTCTGTACCATCATCAGCATCATCATCGTCGTCATCAGCATCATAAGCATGTACCATCAGCACATCCACCGTCAACAACACTCATGTCATCGTCGTCGTCATCATCATCATCATGAACACCTGTTTTATGTTCGTCATGAAGAACACCTGTGTCGTCGTCCTCCTCCGCCTCCTCATCATCTTGATCGCCAGCCGTATCAACATCATCATCTTAATCCATATCATCATCACCACTCTTATTTCCAATACTCTCCAGTCATATCTCCAGCCGAAAGATGCACAAAACGTGTTCAACGCTTGTGTGGCACGTCCTAAATGTCCGTCGTCCAAAACCCTTCTGGACGACGCGGAAATCTGAAGAACGCAACTCTGGATGCCCTAGCATCTAACATGTGAAGCTTTAGGGGAATGCATAAGCCCCCGTGCTCTCAGAAGATGCAGACGCAAACTGATCCAAATCCTTGGCCTTGACACGACATTGTCTGACCATAGCCACATTTTCTGTGGCGGACGAGGGTTACACACCCTGAGTCTAGCACGCACCATTCGGCCAGAAGGGAGGGAACGGATGCAGCGCCGTCTCGATACAGGGTTCCTTCATACATCAATCTTCCAGGCATGTTCAAGAATGTTGGCCCGAGACTAGGCAGGCTTTCGGACTTGCTCATCAATCGATGACGATTTCCTGATTTTTATTGCCATCCTCTGAAAGAACGCATGCAACATGCATGAAAAGACATGTTGAGCTGCTTTGGGAAAAGATGATTAGTCAATGCCCTTTCGTTTGCCACAACTGGAAAGATGCAGAACAGGCAGCTTCTGACATTACAACCTCGCATTGCGAAGGTACACCCTTTTTATGCACACCATCTCGAAGTGCTTGTGAAAGAGAAGCTGTGTGAGCTCACAGATTGTTCATGGTAATGTTTGTTCCGACATGTCGCGAACTTGGATACAGCAACCACGAACCAGTGCTTGCGATCCGAAAACTTAGTTATGGAGAGAGCATTTTCGACCTCGTCGAGTTGTGCACCACACAACTCGGACTGCCCAGTGACACCACAACTCTGCCAGTTGTCATTGTCCTTTGTCCGTGCGTTGCGGTAATGCGCTATGGTACTTCGCTTCTTGAAGGCAGCCTTCACAGCAGCACGAGGCCCACCCCTCGGCTTTAGTTTCAAGGCACAATTACGCCAAGTGGGAAGCATGGAAGGTCTTTACATCCTCCGGAAGTTGGTTCGATCTCACAGCATCTGCCATCAAGGGTCCGGCCTCTGCATGCCTTGCTAGTCTGTATGGAGATGCGCCAGAGAGATAAAGCAGGTGTATTGTCGGCCGTGGCTTACCACCATGCCGTCTCAGCTGCCTGCAGCTTAGGAAAGCTCCGCCCCAGCAATCTTCCACTTGCTGTTTGCTGGAAGGCGAGCATGCAGCAGTTCAAGAAGCGCCGTTGTGTGATGCCCTTCCGTGCTTCGAGTACTCTGGTACGTTTCTTGATGTGCGAGGGTTTGAGTTTCATCCTGTTTCGTGGACGGGGGCCAAGAGTGCATGTAACCGGTGAGTATTGCCGTCAAGCAAAGCAAATTGACAGGCGTCTCACTCTTGCTATCTGATGCATTCTGGCCTGTCTCAAAAGGCTCGTGCGGTTGACAACCAGGTTTTTGTATGTTTTCTTTGCAGGATATTGGGTGCTCGTCATTGCTGGCCCTTCCAGGATTTGGTGACTGCTGTCCGGCTTATGAGCACAGTTCAGATGGACAAAAGTGTGCTAGGACAGGTCAACACGCCAACGTCCCAAGCTACCCCTCAGCACGAAAGCATGATTTCGGACAGCATTGTCTGTGCAACGTCTGTTCTCGTGGTTCCGCCAGGCCACACAGGACCCCAAGAGTTAGTGCCGGAGCAAGCACGAGGGAGGCGATGTGCATACTGACATAGACTAGATCACACATCTCCATGTCGTGAGCCTGTCCGGCGCTCAGCTACCTTCCTTCCAACTTTTAGTCTGTGGGGAGCATCAGTCAGATGTTGCACACACACTTTGGCACGGCACGGATGACTGCGACGAGCGACCGACGGGACCAAACAACGACAGATTGCGGCAACCATACAGAATCACGGAATTCCAACGATAGAAACAACAGCTTCTTTGAAGTGTTTTGGGCCAGCGCACAGGAGCATGAGCAAAACTGGTGAAGAGAGGGCTGGCAGAAACACCGACAAAGGCACGAGCTGCTTGTTTTGTCAGCAGCAAGAATGCTAGACTCTACGTGCAAACTGGCAGCAAAATGTATCCTGTGCGATGCAGATCAACGCAGGCTGATGGGTGTTTTAATGCGAAGCGCTCTCATGAACTGAAAAAGCCCAACATCCAAATCCTTTCGAGCCCGGCGGACTTGTGCCAATCGAACTTTTTGCCCACGCTGCCACTGAGCTTTGCGACATCAGCGGTGTTGATGCTGATATCTTGCTTTGCCAGTGCCAACATTCGCCTGACCCACGTTTTGGCCATGCTGCCCAGCCTGGCAGTGACGGCAAGGTCATCATGGTACCAGTATTGCGTAGCAGTCCACGAGTACATGGTGGTGATCACCCGGAACTGGGGTTGGAAACCCATCCTTTGACACCACTCCTTCAGTGCTTCTGCGGTAAACAGCGGTGTCCCAGTCAAAGTGCCGAAACGAATTGCCGAAGTTGTCCAGTCAGTGACACCTAGATACAGCTCAAGACGGGTGAGATTGCTGCCCACCCTTGATATGACATCTTGGGGCAAGGCTTGCATCGGTCAACCTCAATGAACGGCTATACGCAGGAACACTTAAGCCTGGAGCCAGCGGCCAGGAGCATGAGCAAAACTGGCGAAGAAATGGATGGAGGAAACACTGGCAAAGGCACGAGCTGCTTATTTTGTAAATGGCAGAAGGCCACACGTCCTACTACATATGCACCATACTGAGAAGGGACTCCAGGCGTTGGAGTCTTTCATGCAGATCGCGAAGCTGCTGGGTGTTGATCTCAATGTAGTCGGCTAGCATGTTTCGAAACGGGCTGTCCATCGAGGCAATGCTGGAGTCGTCGGTGTTGCCTCCCTCCACTCCTTCATTGCTGGACTCCGCTTCCTGCAGATCTGCAAAAGTGCTTGGGAGAGGCGCTCATGTCGCTCCGTGGCGCCCTCTGCAAGAATATGCGCATCATTGTTCGAAGGGGAGGCTATGATGCTGCTACTTTGGACCCTACATGCCCAGAGAACAAGTCAAAGGAATGTCGCATGAAAGAGCGCATGACATGACATGTGCGCATGTATTTTTTTTGCAGCTGCGTGCTGCGTCAAGTCCTGTGCCAGAATTTCGATTTGAAAGCAAAGGTGATGATGGGGAGTCGCTGTTCCGCTACCTGCTCCCACAGATACCTAAGGTCCATGAGCATTTGCGCTTCTGGCAACGAGCACTTCTTGATGGTGTGTTCTCTTCCCAGGATACCACTGAGAAGTACATTCTCGGGCGAGGCGGACCTGACACTAGGTAGGTCCCGAGCTTGGTTGGTCGAGTGGCTCCGCACGCTAGCCCGGACTGGGAAGACCGAAGCTAGGTCCTTCGCCCAAGGGCCTAGGGAGACTCGGTTTTGCCTCCGTTGTGCTAGACTGGGAACGCCCCTTCTTGGGGCCGCTACACGCTTGGTCATCGGCTGTCCAGGGGAAGCTGGGACCACTCACGCTACCCACCATGATCCGAGTCCTATGTGGTTGGTTAGCAGACCATCGCACCGCAAAGGCTGCGGTTCATGCCGGGACATGTCTGCCGAAAGGTGCGCTGCCAGAAATCCCTTGTGCCGCCACCACCATGCCGCACATGGCTGGCGACAGTGGCGAGCCCAGGGGCGAACGGGTGCACGCCTTGAAATGCTGCATGGCAGGCGCATGCAGAATGATGGTCAGGATGTCCTCAGCTCAAAGACGAACTTGTCGTGTAGCTCGAGTTCTGCGCCTGCCTCTGAAAATGCGGAGGACTTGCTGTTGTTCCTTTCCACTGTGAAAACGGTGTCCATTTCCAGGCCATGTCGTTGGCGATAGAACTCACGGGTGATGTTCCACGCCTGATGGAATTGAGCGGTGGAGATGCTCGTGAAAAACCGCTGAGGTCTTGATTGCGGCAGTGCAAAGGCTCAGCAGAGCCTTCCTGACAGAAGTTCCGAATTCGTGCCAACAGGTCATACACGTCCCGCTTGGCAAAAGCCAGGGGGACAGCAATGGTACAGAGTCGGTGTAGTAGTCGGGCTTCAAGCAATGGCCGGTGAAAGCATCCACAAAGGACACTATGGGTCTTCCCGATTGGGAGCCCTTCTTGCATTTTGGGAGCGCGTAGGCTGTGGGAACTCTCGGTTGGCGTCGAAATGCCCAGGCATAGCGCTTGTGCAAAGCGCGTTTGGCTGCTGCTTGGACTTCCTGGACCTGATGCTCAAAATCCCCATCTACGGCTTGAAAGACGTTCCGGTTGCCAAAGGTACCACGGGACAGTAGCAGACTGCGGCCCGGGGTTGGTGATCTTCGTAGTATGCCAAATAGCACCCTGAGTTTTGTATCTGATGCTGTCAATGGCATTGCAGTGGTACCTACTCCTAACTCTTGCAGGTGCTCCTCCCAGAGTTTGTGAGAAAGCACGGGAAGGCTTCTGGGCGGGCCCGGCAGATCGTTTGCCCGGCACCAGTCCTTTCATGCCGTGAAGAACCGTTCGCGAACTTGCTGCCGGGAGGGGAGGTACATGTCTCCAGTAGACCCGCCGACCCCACCTCCTTCTCTAGAGTGCTGAAGGAGCGGCAGAAGTGATGTCCCGAGGCGGCTATGTGCCCTTCAAACATGGGGGCCTCGGGCGCGAACTGCTGAATGATGGTGCACTTGCAAGTCGGGGTGTGCCGGGCCGTCCAAGCGGGCCAAGGCCGCTGAGGTGTCACCCCAGGCGTGGCTGTGAAAGGCCGTAGCCCGGGAAAGACAGTGCGAGCAGGTCCCGGCATGGAACCCTGGGTGGGAAACCATCAGCAGTGACGTAAATGCATTGCTGTGGACCGGTGCCGGAGGCCAGTGCCATTGCTGCGAGGAAGGCCATGCGAGTGGCAAAAGCAGGAGGCGGAGGAGGGGGCGGAAATGGATGCCCTCCTCCTCTCGTGCATCGCGGCATGTTGTTCGCACATTGCGTTGGTGTGGATCGCGGCATGTTGTTCACACTTTGCCGTGGTGTGGGTGTTCAGCTTCGGTCCATCATGTGAGACAACAGCAAGCGACGGTGACACACAACTCAGCTGCTTAGGCCCTGACAGCGAGAAACGGCGGCGAAGGCAAAACGGGAGCTCAAGTGGCCACCACAGTGGCACATCAGCAGCTTCACAACTTGGCAGTGCACGTCCAATGTTTGTGCGTCGGCCTTGGACTGTGCTCTTCTCACAAAGGCAAGGGCACGACGAAATCGCTAATTTGTGCGTGACCAGAGTGAAATGCCCATCGGTTGCCAGTGCGAAAAACACTTCGACGGTATGCTAGGCGGGCTTCTTCAACCGTATCCTGCAATGGATTTTATATGCCACTGTTCCTTGCAATCCCTTGGTCATCCTCAGTTCCGTATCACACGCCTTTTGAGCCGTGTGTAACTCAAGTTCGCCAAGGGCCGATTGGCCATAAAAACAGCAAGGAGGAAACTCTCCTTCCTGGCCTGAGCCGGAGCCAGGAACGATACGCCTGACGAGCATTGCGCGAAAGATTTGCACTGCTGAAATAGAGTCCGCGCCATGCGCCCACGTGTAAGTGTGTACATGGCCCCGGGCATGTCGGTGTTGTCCTAAAGGTCGGGACAGCCTGCGAAGCAACGGGAGAGAAAATGCAGTGCCAAGTGTCGGCAACGGTGAAGGAGGTGATGGCTTGAAGCTGGAGTGTCGCCGTTGATATGCCCGCGGCAGGGCTGAGATACGCAAGTTCCTTTGCCATCGAGGTCGGAATGCTCGGCCGTCAAGCTCACAGCACAAAATGACATATTGCGTTCAGCTGCACTTGCTCAGCAGATGCAGCCCTCATTGCCAAAAACCTGCCTTAAGTGCATTGCCTAGTTCCGAAATCAGCACTCTACTCTCTGACGTTGTAAACGTTCGCTCCCTTCGTTTGTTCGTTGATGATCCCCATGAAGCTCACTGTGAGCAAATGTCACCCTACTGCAACGATCCCGATGGGTGAAAAATTTCAGATTGGCAGCGTTGGCGTTATCATCCGCTATCGCGGGCTTGGGCTTTTGCCCACTGTGATCTGGCCCCATGTCGGGATTTCCAAAACGACACACACTTTGGCGCGCGACCGACAGCACCAAACGACGACACGTTGTGGCAACCATAAGAGTCACGGAAGGCCAATGATAGAAACAACAGCTTCTTTGGCGTGTTTTGGGCTGGCCGTTGCGCAGGTACACCAAGCTGATCCGGCTTAGCTTCCCTCTCTGATGCACAGCTTCGTTGGGTACGGTAGCATCAGAGAGCCGTACCCCCGTGCTTTGAAGAAACAGTTCACTAGGCGTGCACACACACACAAACACACCGTCAGCTTGCCGCAGGCGATCGTTCAGATACAGGTAAGTACCACGCTCATCACCCCACCGAGGCATGGCTCAGCAGGCATGGGGCACCCAAAGCCTTTCCCAGAGTCTCGGAGACCAGCTCTTGGCTTCCTGTTGCGATGCACACGATGCACTTGAAGCGGAAATCAGCCCAAGGATGAGCGTCTGAGAGGAGGCACAGGGAGTGGACCGTACCAATTTGGTCGAGTTGCAGCAGATTCTAATCGCTTCCAGGCCGATCGCGTACATTTTGGCGTCGCAGGAGAACCTGCTGCTCCTGCTGCCGAGGCGGCCAAGACAGGAATGGCCTGACACCACAAATCGACTTGCAGTCCTAGACTGTGTTCTCTTGCAGAAGCGTTGGAGACTTGGTTGGGTTTTCGAAGATGGCCGGCCCCTTATCATTTCCATCAGGTCTTAAGATTCCGTCTGCATGTTCACCCATTGCTGCGGGTTGAGGCAAGATTGGCTGCAGGGAGATCCTCATGGGCAGCTTGTTTCCCTGGTTGCCCAATCCTCAGACTCGTTCAGGGAATCGTGGTCGCCTACGTCTTTGTTGTTCGTCCCAGGTGGGGGCCGTTGTGTTGATTCTGTCTGGCACAGCAACTTGGCTTGACTAATTGGTGGAGAAGTATGGATCCGGCACGGAAGCCCTTCCTGAGGCTGTGTGGTCGTCTGTGGGTGGTGATCCCAATGCGGGTCCATCCTGGGAAGAGAGCATGTGGATGTCTTGGGGCCTCTTCTTCGACCCCGGCACACAGACAGGCTGGGGAGAGCCTTCAGATCGACGTGTTTCTTGGAGAACCGTTTTGGAGGCGTGGCAGCCAATGCTCCCATCAAGGTGAAGCTAGCTGCGCTGGTGTTTTCGGTGCTTGGGTTTCTGTACAACTTGAGTCTTGGCGGTAGCATGCTTGTGAGACGCAGCACTGCCATCTCCGAGAGTTACTCTGTTTTGTTGAAATGCGCCTAGGACATTCCTTGGCATCATCGTGAGCTCCCAAGAAACAGAACATGATGGTACATTTTTCGATCATTTCAGTGCAAAGCTCTGCAGTGCTCAATCTGCGAGAGGTAGAGTGGATTCGCTCTTCCATGGCTTCTGCCTCGGTGATGTATGGATGGTCTTTGCACACGTAGCTCCGCAGAGTCTTGGGACGCCCCAAGGACACCTGGACGAGAACCCAGAGTCGAGTGTGGTTTGGACAGCATGTCTTGGTCTTGGGATGGAGCGAGAAGACGTTGTACCTCATTCATGAGCTCTTCGAAGCTTGCTACGCCAGCGGGCAACATCGGCGCATTGTCGTGCTGGCTGACCGAGACCCCGCTGAGATGCACCGGGAGATACAGCAATATTTCCTGCAGCTCTGGGAGCACATGAGCTTCTTCGACAGGCCCAACGGAGTTTGAATAGTGTGCATCCAAGGGATCCGATCGAACTCCAATGAGCATACTCGTAGAAGATCAATCGAGTGCAAGTCCTAGTGAATTTCATACAAATGTCATGAAACCCGAGACAGCACAACAGTCTTGAAAGCACAACGTGGACGAGAATGTGAATGACATCTGGATTAGAATCTGGCGGAAACCAAGTCCAGGCCAGCAAATCCACACGATACTTCTTGTCTTTCTATTCTTCCTGTGCCATCTCACGCTGTTGAGGTGAATTGGGAAAACGGCTTGAATGTGTTGCGTCGTGTGGGTAGGGAGAGCAAGTCTGCTGCCTGCGGCATGTCCTTTCAGGAGTCAGCAAGCGTGAGCGGGTACCGGTAAGGGTCGTCGTTGTCGCCCTTACTGCTGTTGTTGCTCAGGCTATGGCCGATGCTTGTAGCAGCCGAGGGTACTGGAATGTCTTGGGTGCGGCGCAAAGCCTTCGCAAATGTCAACTCGGAGTCTGCAACTCCAGACCATCTTCTACTGGAGCTGGCAGCCAGCTCCGTTTCAGTTGACAACAGGGTCAGAAGCTGACAATCTACGGTTGCTATCATTCGTCTTCTTCTATCTGTTCCGCGCTACTGCCTTCGTCGTTGTCCGCTCGTGCGAGAATCTGGGCACGTCCGATGCAAGATCAAGAAGTCCACTTCGAACATGTCCGGGTGTGATAGCATGGGGAGTGAATCTACCGAGTCTGCCAACAAAGCTGTCGATTCATGCCCTCGTTTACCGCAGGCGCTGGCGGATGTTGAGCTCCTTGAAGATCCGGCAGGGCATCGCTCACGACACGGATGCCTTGGACAGAGCTGGTGCTGTCCGTGCCGAGGACACAGCGGACGGGCAGTTGTCACATGGCATCACATGATGCTTGTCAGAGGCAACCGCAAGTTGCTAAAGTGGTCTGGCCGGAATGCTCTCCTAGCAGCTGTCTCAAGTGCGGGAGGTGGTTTCGAGACATGTGCAGGAAATCATCATCCTTTCTCGCGACGGGGATCCACAAGCTGCAGATCTGGAGACGGTGCTCTGTCGCTGAAGTTTAACGCTATAATATGTCTGTATGAATACGTAGATATGTGTGTGTGTGTGTATGTGTGTATTGCATTTGCACGTGTGTATGTAGGTAAGTATTTATGCGCGTATATGCGTGTTTGTACGGACGTATGAATGTGTGTTTGTGTGTGTGCGTGTGTGTGTGTGTGTGTTCTCGTGTAGGTATGTATGTATGCATGCCCTAACTCATGCACCCTTGCATGCATATACGGATGTGCAGCTACCGTGTGTACATATCTAGGTATGTAGGTATGTTTGTAGACTCGTGTTCGTGTATGGAAGGAAGTATAGACTTTTCGTATATGTGCATGTAGTAAGGACTTATGTGGTTGACGATTGGTTATAGTATCTGCGTACATGCAGTCATACATGCGTACATATATACATGCACAGATTCACACAGATACATTGTTACATATACATTTTCATGTTCATACACACGTATATATGTATGTATGTATATGTACGTGTACGTACACTTATGCTTGTACCATCCATCCATCCATCCATCCATCCACACATACATATTTCTACCACCGCCGCAAGAGAGGTGTTGCATTGCCGAGGGAGCCTCCGGCCGGCATTTCACGAATACTCACTGATGTTCAGTGACCTCCACCACCTATGGTAATACATACATACATACATACCTACATACATACATACATACATACATACACAAGTGCACATGTACATATGTATCTGTACATACAAGTACAAGTGAACATGTACATAGATATGTACATGGACATACGCATGAGCGCACGCATCAGTCATCATAGATAGATGAACAGAGATAAACAAATAGATAACTAGCTGGATAGGTAAGTAGCTAGCTAAGCATTTAGAGAGATAGACAGATAGGTAGATAGGTAAGGAGATATATAGATGGGCAGATAGCATCACAGATAGATAGATAACAAGATACTTAGGGATCGTTTGCATCGGTGGCATACCGCAAGATCGTTTGAGTATGTGCACCAACAGATGTGGGTGAAGTGGCCCCTTGCATGGCAAGCCCACTGCTTTCGGCGTATGTTGGCAGTGACATCTTACTCTGGAAAATTCCCTCAGACTCGCATCATGGTGGCCTTGTCCTCAATGCGGCAGCGAGTAAATTGCCGAATTTTCACGGAGGCCTGGACTGATTCAAGCGCTTTGCTCCAATGTCCTTGGCCCGGCAGCAACTCGCACTGCAGGCGCAGGTGCAAGAGGTGGGCAAAGTGCTGCGGCGTCTGCACGGCAAAATCGAGGCCTTGGAATGTGTTTTTAAGACTGAGATGCAGGACGGTAATGCCGAAATCAGGAACCAAAGTGCGCACGATCCCGAGCAAGATCCGAATCCGATAGTTCTCCAAAATGCGTGCGTGCCCCTCCATAGACGAATGGGGGGGACCCCTCTGCCAAGTTCAAGGAGGGTGACGTTCTACGCAGCTCCCACAAATTTGAGAGCTCCCAAGCCCCCGGTGCATGCTAAGCTTCGTTCCCTGTTCTGACATGCATGCCCCGAGAATGAGCTAGCCGTCCAGTGAAGCTTCTCAATTCTCGACGCCCGCTATGTCTCCTACTCAACCCACCTCACGTGGAGATGGTTTTTACGATGTTTTTACGCCTCATGCAACAAAGCCGTTGACAGGCTTGCGGTGCCAAGGGTCACGGGCCGCAAAATGCATGTTCCTTTTCCTTCATCGCCAACGACGGGGGAACACCGCATTGATCGTGTTTTCACTTGAGTGCCTCCCCAGACGCAGGTCATACATGCACGCGCCGCCTCCAACCATGTCCTGAGTCTTCTCGCGACGAATCACCTTATAGGCAGGGAACACAAGAGAAGTTCCTTGCTGCCCCTCGCTTAGTTGTACTGGAGAAATGCAGGAGCCTGCTTTGCAGACCTTTGCTCTTTCACAGCGGGTGATGAACTTTACGAGCCATGGCAATTTTCAGAGCACGTTCAAGTCGACCAGATTGCCAAAGTCGATCATCTGAGGTAGTTGACCGTCAGACTGGCTGGGACACCTTTCAAGAGGCATGCTCAGCCTTCGACAAGGCTGTTTGCATTGGTGTGCAGGCCGGATGCTGAGCTTCGCAGCAGCCGTCTGACTTGCAGATGTTATGCTCCTTCGCAGGCTGCGAAGCAAGTGCACGGTGCTTTTGGGACGCGGATTGAACTTGCGCCTCCGGGTGACCGGCTATTGGTGGTTTGGTTCTCAGTGCTGGGCCACCTTCCAAGCAGACTTTGCTGCATGGTGGGTCTAGTGCAGCGTTGGAGGAAGGAGAGCGTTTGCTGGTGATGGCATCAGATTGGCAGGCTGCTCCTGAGACGTTAGTGCTGGTGTGGAAAGTTGTCATCAACAGCTCTTGACAGGATGTGCAGCTTCATGTTGGAAGTCTCTTCCACTGGCGGGGTGGAAGTCATGGACCGTCCATGACAACCAGACTTATGGCAGGCAAGACTCAAGACTGAGAAGAAGTGTGTCGTGCATGTGGCAGCAGTACTACTGAAACTCCGTTCTTTACTGATTAGAGCTTGAAGGAAGGTGCGAAAGAACCAGCCCTGCATCGAAATCCATTTACAAATTACTGACCACTCCCCTTGCGTCCTTGGGGTGTCCTGCACAGCACCATGCATTTCTAGCTTGCCCCCTGACATCGCCCACTGGGCCGGGCAGCACAGAGGTATCAGCAATGCCAGGCATAACATGGGGTTTGGTTTCTGCCGGACCCGAGCAAGTTTCGCGGTTCCATTTTCCCAAATCAAGAGGCTGGTCCTGCGCAGGCAACACGGCAGTTTTCATGAAAGAGCCGAAGGAGAAAGTGACGGATGACACCGAGAAGGCCACCAAATGCATCCAATAGGTAGCAGCAGTGGCTCGCAAGCTGGAATTTCAATATTCTGTGCAATATAAACCTTCTGTGTGATACCAGGGGGTGGTTGCGCCGGTCCGTCGAGCAGTGTTTGCCAACTGCACAAGCATACTAGCGAACACTCAGCATGCCTTCAGTCATTCAGGGTGTAGTCAGGGACGGATCTAAGAGTTTCAGCGCCACGGCACTGTTGCCAATTTGTGGAGAGACACGATGCCCTTCGCGCCGTAAGCCACTCGCCTTGACCTAAACTGGAAAACTGCTTGGAAGACATTCGTACGACAGCGCACTGTAGTGGACGGCACACACACACACACTCATGCATCTCTTTGTGAGTTAGACCCCGCTTTGATGTGTCTCCAGCCCGGCAGCTGTATGGTAGATGTGTTCCATCCCTTATGAGACGCGAACACGACTGACCAAAGGCAATTGCACAGAAGCAAGTCTGCATCACAGCTGTGCGAAACACTTTCCTTGAACAATTCCGTTCCCCGCATCCCACGGGCCCTGTTGCAGGAGATTCGGGCCCAAGCAGTCAACCCCATCATTGTGGTGGGCTGGCCAGCAGGTGGCCGAATGCACATCGTCAGAATTGATGCAGTCAACGGACCCCCATGTTTCGTCAGATCTCGCCGACATCTTGGTGCTCTTGGACACGCAAGTTCCTAAAGGCTTTGAACTTGCTCGCTGCCATTAAACTTGAAACATTACGGCTGCTTTTGAAGCGTTGCGAGGCACAAAGGTCTTCGTTCTTTCAGAGCGCAGTGAGGCCAAGAGAGCGGCAGCAATCACAGGACTGGTACGCTGCTTGCTTTCGATTTCGGACACACCGTGGGCTGTAGCTACCCTCGACATATTCAGTTATTCAGAACGAAGCATAGCATCAAATGATGGCTGGCCAGGCTGCATCTGCTAAGCATCACATTGTCCAAATGATTCTTTCTGTCCAGTCGAGTTTTTCACGCTTTGAAGGAGGGCACCGCAAGATCGCAAACCTGGATGCTGGGACGACGGTGGCCGGCTTTATCGTGCTTCTTTCGCAAGTTCTTTGCAGCCAAGGACATTGAGCATCGCTACGGACCTCGAACATCGGGCAAGTGTCTCCGAGATTTACCACTGAAGGAGGCATTCGTGCGGATCATGTTGGAATACGGCCTCCAGAGTCACTCGTGACGGTCGAAGTCGTGCACCCGTTGGCACTGAATATGCAAGGCGTCTGCAATCTTGATCCTTGCGGAGATGCAGGGTTTCACATCTGACGATCCTGAAGAGGTCGGGAGCAGGGAGTTGAAGCTCTCGAGTAGAGGCCTTGTTTTGATTTGACTGCAGTGAGATCTTGGTTGTTTCGCATGCAGGACTATGTAGGTATGTCAACGTAGTGTTGCTGACCATCGTCTGTGGCAAGGTCTAGGTGTAGGTTCCACCTATCGATGCCAACATACACGGAAGCAACCTGTTTCGGATACATCACATAACGGCCAGGTTCCGGTGGATGATGATGTCGGCAACCAGACTGAGATCATGCAACCTAGTGAGACTCGAAGTTCAGTGACATACCGGTAGCTGAGGTGACGACACATTGACCAGTGCTCCTCAGATTGCACGCAGATGCCTGCGCAGCACGGGGGCACTTGGACGTGGACATCTTTGATTCTCAGGACTCTGTCTGCTTGGCATCGCTGCTCGCCTGGGACTTGCGAGCACGTTTGTCAGCAGCTCATGCAACTCCCACCGCCGAAGGTCATTGCTGACATCCTTGAGGATGGGGATGCCAAGTTGGTGAGAACGACGTCGGAGGCATTTTCTGTCATTTCTTGTTGGCAGAGCATCCATCGATGAACTTGTGGTGAGAGGCCTGCGAGCTTTGCCGAGGAGTGACTGCGAGGACAGAAGTCCTGCTGGATGCCTAGATATCGTGACAGGGCCGCAGGGCCAACTCAGCCAATTCTCGCAGCAAAACGGGTCAGATCTGTCGGTGACTTCCACAGTGAATGCCAGGCCGCTAGGTCCAGGGAGACAGGGGTCCTGATTATGATGATTATGTGGCCACTTCGTGAGCTCTAGCAGATTCTTCATATATTTCTGAGCTCCGACAATAGGCTAGCGGCGCTAGCGTCTGGGTACAGCCTGGGCAAGCTGCTTGGGGGATAGTCGCAGGCCAAGGTGTGGCCTTGGGCTAGACCTAGGGCTCGGGTAAAGAGTCGGGGTAGGTTTGGGGTAAGGTAGGGTGTTAGGGCCAGGTTAGGAGTGGGCCTGTTCGGCCTGGGGGAGAGAACTCTAGGCCAAGGAATGAAACCTGTGCAGTGTTTCCCTTCGTAGTGCTGCGTTTTCGTTCTGGAAGACATGCTTGCTTGCCACTTAACCATAGCACGTCAAGCCGTCGGTCCGGGTAACGGCAAAGCCGATGGCGCAGAAACATGCACCGAACAAAAAGGCAGAGATGGTCGATCCGACCCGACATCGCGGATGGCAGCCGCTGCAGAGCTTGTCAAAGTTTGATTTAGATTGTAGTTTGGAAGAATCGTCAGAAACATGAGGAGTAGCTCACAGGGGCGATGCTTCTGTCTTTTCAGAACGTCACCCGTTTGTTGGACATGGAGCGAAAGTGTGGGCGCGTTGTGTTTCTGTGTTGGAAGAAACGTTAAGTTTCTTGAGCAATGCGACGCCAAAATGAAGTTGCTCGTGACGCATACAGGTGTTCATTTCTTCCTTGTGTTATGTTGCATCTTCCTGAGGACATGTTGTACCCTTCACTATGTCAATGTCACCACCGCCTTGCTCATCAATCCAACACTTGTGCAGATCAATCCAACAGATGTGCGGTTTGTTGCCGTGTTCTCGTTCTGGGAGACATGTGAATATTCGTCGTTATTTAAAACCTCCTCTCCGAGGTCTGGAGGCGGATTGTCCCTTCGTTGCCGGAAGACATGTTTGCACAGAGGGGCTCCAGTTCGGAGTCTAGCTCAATGTGTGTTCCAGAAAGAAGCAACTGCGCTTGCTTCGCGGAAAAGTTCGTCAAAACCATTGCTAAGATTGCACATAAAGGTTGCCTCGGTGATCATCGAGGAGCAAGCGAAGGTATTGGGTGTCCATATAAGACCAGCTTACTCCCCTGTTTGCTCATGAACGGAGGCATGTGCAGGTTTTCTTTTATTGTGGTGTGAGCTCGCTCTGGAAGATATGTTGTGTGGTTTCGTTTCGACAGGCAAGTGTTTTGTCTGTGTATTTGTGCCCTTCGGCATTCCTTACGACTCGAAACCGAATGCAGCGATTCCCTCTGCAGTGTTGCGGTTCCGTTCTGGACGACATGGCAGGTGCTGCTAGGTTGCCTCATTGCTATAACAACTGCAAAGTTCGAATTTCTCATACGGCAGAGACATGAGGAGATGTTGGGGTTTCCTGCATTGGAAGACATGTCAGGTTTTGTCATCAGTTCAAATTCACCCTTTCTGCTCATACAACGAAGACCTATGCAGAGTTTGTGTCTTCGTTGAGAAGACATGTTGTATTTCTTCACGATTTAGAACTCATCTCTCTGAGATGCTCAGAAAGCCAAGATGCCTCTGCAGACGTTTGCTGCTAGCTAGTGCTGCTGTGTAGGCATAATACGTCTAAGCCTGCCTTTAAGCTTTACCCGAACAAACCCAGCCCTAGATAGGTCGTCCAGACTCACTCCTGCCCGAGGTCCTCTCCGCTAAGCCTATGCCGACCCGCTCTCAGGTGCAAGGTAGGCTTACCCCCTAGGCCAGGGCAAGGAGCTTCTATGCGTTTTATTGCAGTTGCCTGTGGCACGAAACACGAGGAACATGCAAATGTATGACTACTGTTGAGTGAAGAGGATATCGGAAAACAACGGGCAAAATAGGGAAAACAAGTTCGGAAACCAAGGAGGGCGATTTCGGAAAACAGCCGGACAGAATCACACAGCCAGAATCAGAAAGCAGCACAGACGAAATCAAGACTCAGAAAGCAACCCAAACAAAATCAGAAAACAGGAGAGAGAAAATCAAAAAAATTGGCGTAACCACCCGTTTGTTTTGCCCACAAACCGGAAGGTGAAGGAAGGCCACGCTCCTTTCACCCCTCTGATTTTTTGGCCACAAATCGAGAGGTGAAGGAAGGCCGCGGTCCTTTCACCCCTCTGTTTTGCCCACAAGCCAAAGGTGAAGGAAGGCCGCGCTCCTTTCACCCCGCTGTTTCGGCCACAACCCGAAAGGTGATTGAAGGCCGCGGTACTTTCACCCTTGGGTGTTGGCAGCAAACCGAGAAGTGAAGGATCGCCGCGGTCCCGAGCGGCGCTTCTTTAAGAAGTGTGGTTTCCAACAACATGGGAATTCGTGCGCGAGCTATCCCGTCACGCCATTGCAGTGGCTCTTTTTGCCTTTCGTTTGTCCTGGTTTCTGATTTTCGATCGCCCTGTTTTCTGATCTGGTCCGTCATGTTTTCTGATATTGTCCGCCATGTTTGTTGATTTTCCTGCGACCGTTTTTTGATTTCGGCTTTCCGTTTTCCGATTTTGTTTTCTGATTTGGCCCGGTGTTTTCCGATGTCGTCCGATCCGTTTTCGAATTTGTTTTCTGATATCGTCCGTACCCGCCTACTTTTGACCACCTTGCTGCCAACCCTGCAATGTGGGTCCCTGCTGCAGTTGCCTCCAAGCAGCTTTCAAAATCGCACCCACAATCTCCTTTGAATCCTGCACGGCCGAGCGAGCGTGCATGAGCGTGCTCTGCATGCAACACGGAGGTCCGGTTCGTTTGCAGGTCAAGCATCAAAGACTCTGACTCCATTAGGTGTCGGAGGGGCTCTATTTCTAGAGTGCGGCTCAAATCACTCATCGAGTAATCTTTTCGGAGTCCCTTCGAGTATTTTGAGGTCATCTACCGGAAAGAAGACCAAGATCATTTGTGAGGCAGATCTTGTCTTGACGAACGAGTCTGTTCGATGCAGTGATAGTGGCATCGCGTGAAGAGGTGGTTGATCCGCGCACTGAGCAAGTAGTCGCGCGGAATGCATCGCTTCAAGACACCGCTTTCTTCGTCAGGAGCAAGGCTCGACCCACCCTTTCTCACAGCCTACCAAAAAATTAAGATTGGTGTAGGCGCTGGAAACGGGAATCTTCACAATGGCCATGTCAGAGCCAGCAGTGTCGCGAGCTGAGCAGTGCCGGGAGCCTAAAGCTGCTATGACTGCAAATATTTGCGAAGGTTCAACACGCTGATGGTGCTGATGTCGCCAAGCTGCCCATCTCTGCAGGCATGTGAGAAAGCTTCTGAGATGTTTGGCTTGCATCACGTCCCAGGCCGTTCCAGTAGAACCAGTCTTGCAGAAGGGATGCCTCGCCGAAGGCGCCCTCTCTCAGGAGATGTCAGGAGAAGGTTTCGTGAGTTTCGTGCATGTGGTCACTAGTGTCCAACTGGGGGGTCCTCCTTTGTTTTGTGCTCTGACGGTTCCCAGGCCGGAGCTACGGCGCGCTGGCTCGTGCCAGCTGGCGGGAGCTCAACGAAGCCTGGGCTTATCATGAGACCATGCCGGTGATTGGCTTTCGGCTTTTGCACACGCGTGGCGAGCTACAGCAGTAATCCACGGCACATCAAGGATAAGAAGCGTTATCCACAGCATTGATTGTTGGATGGACAGTGCAAGGCGAGCTTTCTAAACAGTTTCTCCGACTCAGGAAACTGTCAAGTTGTCAGGTGGACTGCGGGGGTCTCATTGCTACATGTAGGAGCTGCGGTTGCTGGGCCAGTGGGTCTCATTCCGAGGCTTGTGGGTTGGCACCAGCGGTCACAGGCAAGTGCCAAGCAATGTCTGCGTTCGATTTCCTCCCGAGACTAGCGAAGCAATGCCATCCAAGGGGCTGAGATTCTTGCTGACCCCCTCGTGCGGCAAGGACGATTTTTGTTGATGCCGCCTCCGGTGCTTTGGATGCACAGTTACAAGCCGTTTGAGGACGAGCCTGTGGCGTGGCACGCTGGCGACCTCCTCCTGGCCCATGCCCGATTTCCGAAGCTGATCATCGGCAGACCAATCGTGAGTGTCAGGTGATTCTTCAGCCGGACTCCGTCTTCAGATAACAGGACGGACTTCTGAAGCGACTCGACGGGGTGTGATCTGGAAAACCCGCATCCACCCTTTGTACATACGGCTTAATGGCCTACTGTCCTTCGAAATGCTAGGGGGACAAACACGGCTCCCGCTCGTCGATGCCCTCCCAGTCAAGCTCACGAGTTCATGCGGTGGAGTAAGTGTCCTGAAGTGATTGATTCGTTGGTCTGGCTCCATTCCGGTTTAAGTCTCTCCCGCACCTCAGCAGTTGCGCAGTAGTTGCAAGCTGGCTTCCCTAGAGTGTCCATAGAGATGCCCGAAATTGCCTTCGACCTCTACGACGAGCGCTGGCGGGAGTGTTGGATGGCAGCGACCTCCACTGCCCGCTTGCGGAAGAAGCAGGTGGATATCGACATTCAAGAGCGAGTGCATCGATTGATTCAGGAGCACGGTCCTAACACAGAGAAGCCCCTGACATTGCGTGTTTATGGAACAATGATCAAGGGCTTCTGTGTTTTGAACAACGAGCGAGCTCGTGCCCTGTACTTTGACTCGGAGCGATTGGTGCTCATGTTTGCGCGCCAGCCATTTACGGAGGACAAGATCAGACTGCCAGCCGCTAAGAGGCAGCGGATGGAGGCGGCACTGACGTTGGACTTGGATCTGGCGAAGGTTGAAGCCTGTGAAACCTTCAACTGGACACAGGCTCCTTTGGAGGAAGGGGCCCTTTTGCAACTTGGTGGGGCTGCTGCTCAGGATGTTCTCCCATCGATTGAGCTTGCAGAAGCCATGCCACAGTTGCTGGATCCAAATGCCTCTGACCTGGCTGCGCCTAAAGCGGAGATGGACTGGCTTCCCAGATTCGAGCTGGGCCCTTTGGAGCCGCGAGTGGAAGGCGAGGGACGGAAACCGGAGGAGCTCGCCGACCCCCTGATGCAGCTCTTGGGTGCTCCGAACGCAATTGAATTGCATGACCCGCAGGCCTGTGGCCAGGGAGAAGGCAACGGAGAGGCAGTTCAATCGCTCAAAAGAAGACGTGCAGAAAGAGTCGCTGCCGCGCTTCTCCGCCCAGGATTAGTGTATGGCTTTGACTCCGATCCGATGATTCCTTCTCAAAAAGTTGCCGATTGGCAGCTCGACGATGACAGGCTCTGTCGAGCGCGGCTTGGGGCCGTGGACCAGGTTGAGATAATGGAAGATTCCTTGCAGGAAGCTGATCACTTCGGATTTGGGCTGCGGCAAGTTGCAGATCCCGACACGGCCTTTTACCACCAACAAGGAATTGGAAGAGATCAAGGAGAGCCTCCACAGGTTCAATCTTTGCTTGGAGGAGTTTGTGATTTCCCGTTCCCTGACGCTCATAGCCACACTCAGCCTGGCATGCAAACATGGGAGCCCGAACATGTGGACGACACACTCGGGTCCTGTGCTGCGCAGCATGCAGATTTGGACGTGGCCATGCATGATGATCCCATGCCTGACGCCAACCTGGAGGTGCAGGATGATCGCACAGCAGAGGTCGGACAAATCATATTGGATTGCTTGCGGCGTGATGGCCACAGCACTGAGTTTGAGAAATTGGTCCCACCTGGCGAAGCTGACCGAACCACAGCAGCCTTGACATTCACGGCCTTGCTAGCTCTTGCAAGCGCGGGCGACTTGTACGTGCAGCAGATGCAGCCCTACAGCACAATCGTGGTCGCTGAATGCAAGTGAGCGGTGCACCTTTGGCTTCGCCAAGCGATCGGGCAAGCCAGAGCTGAAACCGACTTCATGGCCGGTGCGGACAGACTGCGGGGAGCGCATAGCGAAGGAGTGCGGAGGATGGGGTTTCAAGAAGTTTGTCTTGTTGGGGCTTTGCATCCTGAAGCTACGCGCAACAACCAGATCTCTCTCTCTCTTTTCAGCTGGAAAAAAGGTGTTCTGTGTTTCCTGCGAAGACATGGCAAGCAGTACGTGCGCATGCTTTGCCACACCGCGAACTACTCAGTGGCTCAGAACTGGTCGGCACCATGAGGACCGGTGTCAGCAAGGACCAAGCCGTTTTCCTAATTCAGCTCCACGGTTCCACGGCGGACCTTGCTTTCAGCGAGCATCGGTCGCTGTAGACGCAAGCTCAATAAGAAACCGTCAACACATCAGATAGACCGTACGTCTTGCCGCAGGCACCTAGAAGCAGAGCATGCAGCAGGGCTTTCCCGGGCGCAATACTCCAAACAGGCTCACCAACCAACTCGACCATAGCCTTAGCACCAGAGCTGCTTTAGTCTTGCGCGAGCTCGGCCGTGGGTCGACAAGCAGAGCTCAAAGTGGCGCGAGGCGCTGAAGGCGCTACTCAGCATGCGGGCTTAGGGAGTTGCTGTCAGCCACGCGGTCCGGCTGTCGTAACCCCGTTGTGCAGTCGCGGGGCGACGGTGCCATGGGCGCTCTGCTCAGTCAAGGCATCTGCCTTCGAAAGGCTGGAAGTGAAAAACGGCACCGAGGCAGCTACCGGCAAGAGCCGGGCATGCCGCCTGCTGGCGAAAGGCCACGCATCACGAGCTTTCAAAGACCAGCCTGTGTTGAAGTAATCGTCATAAGGAAGGCACGAGGCAAGGCAAGCATCGCGCAAGAGAAATAGCAGCTGCAACTTGAGATCGAGACAGGTTTTGCCTCCATCGGTGCTTCGGGTACTTTGCACCAATGCAGCGTAAGATCGCCTCACAGTGTCCTTGCAAGATTCTCCCAGAATCATCGAACATCTTAACACAAGAGCCTAATGTTTGTACAGAGTTGTGTCACAATCCACTTCGTTGAATCAAACAAAAGTGCAGGCGAAGCAGCAGCCACGGGGAGTCGCGATTTGCCATGAGCAGGACTCGGTTGTGCTCGTGCTCGTGCCTAAGTGCAGCTTTGATGCTCGCGAATATCAGCACTATAGGAAGCAAGACATCATACAAAGATGATGACTAACGACATGGTGATGGCGATGATTCTGGCTATGGGCAATCGTTTTGCTACGCACTTCGGTACGAAAGGGCAGGATGTACTAAATAGAACGCCCTTCGACGTGTCCCGGGTATCGACCTTGCTTGCCCTGCTTCTCGCCTGGAGAAGCATGGGCCAGACGATTTGCGCAGAAAGATGTGAGGATAAGGATTGCTGTGGTGATGCGGGTAGTCTGGCCTCTCCGGATTTCTACTTGCTGTCCTACTTGTTGTGGTTGTAGAGGTAGAAGTACAAGAAATAGTCGTCTTCACAGCCAGCATGGTCGTGATCGTGGTTGTGGTCGCCGTCTCAGGAGTCGCAGCAGTCGTAGTAGTCGTCGTAGTCGTAGGAGTCGAGTCGTAGCAGCAGCAGCAGCAGCAGGAGGAGTCTTAGGATACAAACAGTCGCAGGAGCACAGGGTTACGTATGGCGAGCTCACTCATCCAACTTATTGAACAGGAATGGGCAAAAGAATCGCAAGGGTCTGCTTGGGCAAGACCCTCAGAAGTTTCAGTCATGTGCCGAGCACCCTCGTGTTTCAATCCTTTCTGCTGTGAAAGTTCGATTTATTTGTGGCTATTTGGCTCAAGGCCTGGCTGAAAATCTTAAAACATAAGATTAGCATATTCCAAAAAGCCTGAAGAGCTCTCAGGCTTGCGCCGCTCGTCTGCATTCTAGCCGCTTGCGCTTGATGCTAAAAGGGACAGCATCTTTTTGTGCTCCAAGTTGAGGAAGAGGCGATACGGTTACTAAAATCGTGAAGATGCTGCTGTTTTCGAAGGCTACAACAGTCATTGCAAATCAAGGGCATCTGTCTACACAGGCAGACTATCCATTAGGATGCTTGAAGTGACCCTCGCATCGGTCCGATGCTTCTGAACGCAGACAAAATGGACTGGCAGCAAGTCTTCTGCATGGCATGATACTGTAGATTTTAGCGTTGGTGTGCTTTATGTTTTGGCTACTGCCCTCAGAAGTCTTCTCTGCAGGTAGGGACTGCAGTTTCCAAGTGCAGAAGCAAAAGGCGAACACAGTGCGCTGTAGGCATCTTTCGACGTTGGGAAACTAGCCGCTTTCGAAGCAGCTCGAGCAAGACGCACATGGCCATTGCTTCTTCACAGCGCCTGCAAAACTTTGACTCTGGAAGCCGAGATGTAACGATGTTGCTACCAGGCATTGCCCGTGATGTCTCTGAATTCGTGAGAGATGGCCTGCAAGGACATCGTTTTGAGAAGCTGGAAGCAACATGCTGCAATCGAGTTTTGGAGGCTCAGGGACTGCCTCCTAGGATCTGACTCTCCAGGGTAGGTCCATGGGCCCGCGAGGTTGCTGATTGAGCATCTCCTTCAAAACTCGAGCATATGACCCAAAGTACCCCAAGGAGCCATGGAGGATCTGCCAAAGGGCTGTTTTGCCCGGACACAGATTGGGATAGCGCTCTCCTTCAGCTCGGCTGTGTACTTTAGATTCTCTGCGAGATTGGACATCAGAAGACATGGCCGGAGTGCTACGGTGGTTGAAAACAGATAGATGCAGTGGAGAGACATGCAATGCCGTTCTAGTCTTTTGTTGCATTTCGACGGTGCATGTCTGTACGTCCCTGTCCCGAGGCTGCTAAACCTCGGCAATACCTGCTTCATGAATGCCGCTCTCCAGTGCTTAACGCCTGCAACCCAGTGAATTGGCTTTTGGGCTGTTGGGTGTTCTCTTTGGTTTTAGGTGGGCTTGAGACCGAGGCACACGCACGGCATGCAGAAGTACTTCCGACATTGCGAGCACACTTTCTCGTGCGAGCCCTGCTGCAAGCTGTCGATGCTGAAGTCACGGCCACTTTAAGCTCTGAGAGGCCTCGAGCTCAAAGCAGCCGCCAGAAGTTGCTCATGGCCTTCGCACATTGGTTCGAGCAGGACTGGGGCTGCCAAGCTGCAAAAGGTATATCCAAGAGGGCGATCTTCCCAACTGCACGAGCAGACGCATCTCTCAGCTCAGGTAAAAACGTGTAAGGCACCGAGTTCGACCTTGTCAGGGATCAGGGAAGAGCGTTGATCATGGGCACTGACATGGACCGAGGTCTGCACCTTACCACTCTCCTGAGGATGTGCTGCGGGCAGTGCAGCAGCCGGTTCCTCAGCTTTCGACTTACAGACACTTCTTGACCAGCTGGTGCACAGGTTGAACCCGACCTTCCAGGGATATTCACAGCAAGACTCGCAGGACACGGTGTGCGGAGAACTGCACAGAAGTGGCTGCCCCTTCATGCCACGTCACAGCTTGTAGGAGTTCCTTCGATGCGTTCTGGACAACATCCATGAAGAGCTTCGAAGAAAAGTGTCCTGCACCGAGTCCAGGGTGAAAGCTGGCGAGCGATGGCGAGCGGCAGTGCCCAAGCCCAAGGCCGGACGAAGCCTACGGCTCCCAGGGCTCCGAGAACGGCCCCTCCCCAAGACGCTACGCCGGAAAAGCGGGCAAAGCAGGCCTGATCCTGCTTTACCCGAAGGTACGACCTCAGCAAGTGACGCTGGGCCCAGCCGGGTGGCGCCGAAGATAGATGCAGGCCAGCCAATGCCAGTAATACATCGAGAGGTGTTTCTGGTCTGGTGTGTTCGACGAGCCCATCTGGGAGGAACGCCTTCGTCGTCTTCGACGGATTTCCTTTCGTCTGGAGGTCTGCCACTTTCTGCACGAACTCGGCGAGGCACCGGCACTGACCCGTTCAGAGATTGACAGCTGTCAGGCGACACGCTTCAGCGGGGATCTTCGGCAGCGCAACAACTCATCCAGCCGGGGCTCCCCGAGAGTTCCAACAATCGTAGACAGTGTTGAAAAGAGCAGGATCAACGGTCTTCAGTGCCAGGTTTTGCCAGGGGCCAGAGAGTACCACAGACATGGGAGAGATCAGGCTCTGCACATGTCAAGCACACAGCGAGTGCCGAAGATCATTTTCAGCCTTTCAAGCAGAACTGGAGGTTATCCTCTACTGGCTCTGACTCAAGGCACATTGAGCTTCAATATTAGCTGCACTATTGGGCAGACTCGGTTGTATTCCTGCAGAGTCGAGAGAAGAGTGGCTTTACCAGGGCAGTACCGCTTTGAGCTCGAAGGTCCTCTGACAATGTGGATGAACCATCTGCATCCAGCGGCGATCTCAGAGCATACGGCACTCTTGCGGCTACGGCGACGGCCATCTGCAGTTCGGGTCAAGCATGCAAGTAGCCCGTGCAAAGAGGTCATAGCGCCGCGAAGGGGGGAAGTGCTGGGAGGGATGTGCGAACGGGGGGAGGGGGGGGCGTAGTGTTGTGATCGAAGGAGCAAAGGGAGGTTGCTCTGAGTTCTGCGTGCCCAACGTTGGATTTTGCTTTCGGTGGGAAGCACGCCCCTTCGCTTCAGGCCAAGCTGCCGCAGGCCAGTCCGGATTCAACTCGGAGCCTCCTCGCACAAAGAGCATCAGCTTCAGAACTTGCCCCAGAACTTGCGAAGGCGGGGCCCAAGGCCCCGATGCGGAGCCAAAAACTCACTTCGCCGGAGACCTAGTTCAGCTCAGCTGCGCAGAAGACCACCTGGGACAACTCCAGGAGTCCATTGTCTCCGAGCTTTTTCAGGGCAAGGTCGTCTCATGCGTCCCGGACCGAGCTTCGACTTGCCTCATCGACTGGCGGGTTGGGGGTGCTGTTGCACTCCTCCTGCTGCTGCTGCTGCTGCTGTTGCTGGTGTTGTTGCTGTTGGGGCTGCATTGCTTTGCTCGTTTCTTCGTGCCCCTAGCTTTTCTCGGCGCCAGGTGAGATGCCTTGAATGCAGACAGATATCCAGGCCGTTTCGACCATGCTGGCAAGTTGCGTCCATTCTGATGGGATCGCAAGTGCCTGCTCTACTACTACAGGACGTCAGAAGCCGTCTATGATATCTCTGTGCCCCTCTTTTGCCGTAAACTGCTATGGCACAGAGTCCAACAGCGACATGCCAGTTGGATGTGAAGCCACTAGAATCACTAGAACTAGCCACGATGGATTGTGCTGTGTCAGTTCATGTGCAATGCAAGCATAGCTGTTGATTCTTCCACTGATCCTGAAGCTGATCGGTAGCCTCGAGAGGTACCAATACCGAGTGCAAACGAAACTGCAACTTCTGTCGGCGACGGCTCGCCGCTGCGACACGCTCAGAAACTCCAAGAGCTTAGGTTGATTCGTCAGTTCGGTGGAGATGAGGTCATCCGTCGGCTCGTCACCCAGCCTGCAGAGACAAGGGCAGCGCACTTGGCGGGATTCCACCGTGTTTGATGCGTGGTACCATGTGGTACCTCTGACTCGTGCATCCTTTTGCAGGTCTGGTGGGTTGCGGAGCTCGTCCTGGTCGGGTGTTTTGAATTCTGTTGGTGGCAAGGCTGGTCAGCTGGCAGCGCTGCCGGATTTCCTTGCCACTGTGCCTTGACTGGGGGCTCTGCAGGTCAAAAGCTGGTTTTACGTCTGCAGCCCAGGATTTTCTGCTCCAGGCAGATTGGGTGTAGATTGGAGCGGCCACAAGCTGAGGACAAAGGCGTACACCTGACCGACTGCCTTCGGAGGTGCCATGTCAACCGGGTTTTGGGCGTGAGAGCCACATAGTATGAAAACGATTTGCTGCATGTGAGCTGCCGGTTGCGCCACCAGAACAGTATCTTTACCGGAGATCCTCTCGCGGCTGTATTTTGTCCTGGTTCCACATGTGGCAAAATGAACGAATAAACATGGTTCAGTTTCAGCAGACTGGTACAGGAGTTTTTTGACAGGACTGCAAACATGAACCGGTTGAGCATGCACGCGAGTCCACGCCGACTGGGGCTTTGCAATTCGTAACCGCACCTGGCATGCATCGCTTCTCAAAACATCAACCGGTTGACCGTCCACACTGGCTATCCGCTCGGGTTGGCACCGGGCAGGGTAAAAGCGGGCTTTCGAGTCTTGCGGTAGCGAGCATAACAGACATTCCGCAGTGTGGGATGTGAGTAGCCTGACATTGACCTTGCGTGCTCGTTGATGTGACATTGACAAAGCAGTAGCAGCAGGGTTGTGTAGCCGACTCGGTCGGTTGCTCTTGGGGAGCACAGCAACGAGAACCAGCGTCTGCGGGGTGTTTATAGCGATGGTTTATCGCGCAGTCGGTGTCGAGAAGTAGGCATCTTTGTTGGGATTGCTGCCACTATGTTTTTGAAACGGAAGCAAACAGTGCCGGAAGCATCAGCGACCACGAGGCGTAGGCAGTTTCGAGGCTTCCGGCGGTGTAATTTCTTGAATCCTATGTGTCTTTCCACGCCCATCTTGTATAATGTAAAAGAGAATCCCTAGATTGCTATAGATTCCTACCTCGATCTGCAAAGCCTATTTCAGTGACGAGCCACACAAAATCAGCATCCCCTTCTGCCTGATGCCTGTGTCTGCGGAGGGAATTGGTCCTGTTCCCATGCATGTGTCTGCGCGCCGAAGAACGATTTCCTCGGTACGACAATTGGCTATGAGACAGCATGAGACAGCTTAGCATTTCGCATTCGCTTCGGTCGACGGTGGTCGATCATGCAGCCATCGCTGCTGCTCTGCGTCACCGAAGTCAATCATAGCACGGACCAGATCAGACTTGCCGTAGTTACAGATAATGTCGCAGCTTCTTGGTAACAAGGTATGGACACTGGAAGCGCGTGAGGTAGGCAGAATCGCTGGTCTAGCACGGGGGTGTCACCTACAAATGAGGTACTGTGCTCCAGAATACCTGGGCGGCAAGGACACGCTTGCACATCATCAGGTAAGACAGTAAGTGGTGTCGCATACTGCACCAACCCTACAGGACCAATACTTCTGTGAGCGGTGCAAGCGAAAGAACGACTGCGAAAAGCGCATGGTCTTCAAGGACGGGATGCCTGTAGCTTCCAGTGGCTTCTTCGAGGCAACGAAAGCCGCACTTGCAGGAGCTGCCTGAGGTTCTGTGTATCCACCTCAAGCGCTTCAGATTCGATAACGCCTATGGCTGGTCGGTTGCCTACGCTTAGCATGCCTGCAAAAAACGAACCTGTTGCGGGCTCAGCGCACGAAGCATACTGCACTCAGGTTTAATGGATCCAAGAATTCTCGCGTGGTTACCTTTCCTGTGGTCCCACGCTTGGAGCATGTCCCATCAGAAGCCTCCACGAAAGCACAAGCACCGGCCGAATCTCAGACCACCACCCTGGACATGGCACCCTTCATGGAGGAAGTGCCGGCCCAGTGCGGACCTCATGGCGATTGTCCACCGAGCGCCTGGCATGACGGACACATCCAACGGGAGTATTGGCGTTGTGAGTTCCGTTTAGGCTTGGTGCAGTGCTTTGCTCCACCAAACTCACCAGGTGCTTGTGCCAATCTGGGACACTCTCCTCACATGATGCCCTCCACTTCCCACCCATGACAACCTCTTCTTGCTTATGGGTTTCGTGTTGATGTCTGACCTCTATGCTCCGCCCCAAGCAAGTGCCCTATGGCAAGACGTGGTTTTGTGTACCTCAACCTGCCACAGTCGACAATGTGCCACAAAAAAGCGAGGTGATGTAAATCCATCATGCGTTCGCTCGAGTAATGGCGTGGGAGAGGTCGCGTGTGGCAATTGATTCGCTCGATTTGCGCGGCCAGATCATGAACCATGAGCCGCTGAGAGTAGGTGTCGATTGAACTGATAGATTGCTAGATGCTGCTAGCGTCATCCGATCCGCGCATTGGGCTTCGGCTTCCCTTGCCCGAAGCAACCAGCGGGGTTGTTGGAGCAGGGTTAAAGCAGGAGGGACTCCCTGGACTTTGCGGAAGTCAATCATTATGAGACGTTTGCAGTCCTCCAAATGCTTGTGTGGCAGCGCGAGAGTGCACACATGATGGCAGACGCTTGGACTCAGGCCTATAGAGTACAGGCCGGACTGTGCTGCTGAACCTGTGCACCTCAGCCGCATGCCAGCCAGACCTGGCTTTTGGAGGCTCATTGGTCTCATTCAGCACATCGGCTCGATGGGCGGTGGCCACTACATCTCGTACTGCCAGCACAAGAGAAAACCTCAGGCATTTGCTCATGGGGATGGGAGCTGACGTTGCTCGTGACTGCTCGTGCGTCACTCCCAAATCGCCTGGGAGGACTGGTACGAGTTCGATGATGTGCAAGTCACATGCGTCACATCTGAACAGGTGGTGGTCTGAAGTCAGTCCTCCGAAATCGCAACCTGGGTTCGACTTTATCGGGACTTGTTGCAGGTTGAACGAGCGGAGCCTTATGTGCTCTTCTACCAGCGTGTCCGGCCCTGAGATGTTAGGGCAGGGCTTGAAAGGGTTTGTAGGGGTCCTTGATGGTCCTTGTCCACTTGATAGAACATGGCACTGAGCAAGGTGGTTATGAATCGCGGGTTTCAGGTACACTATCTAGGCTCACCTTGCTTCCAACTCCACGTCTATGCTACGTGGCTGCTCGACCAGTCCCGACGGTCCGAATCGTCGTCGCAGTTGTGGACTTGATTCGTACCTCAATGGGAATGCACCCTAGACCGACCTTTGAGGTAGGCTCATAGTGGAGTTGTTGATAATCTGCACTGTGATCTGCAAAAACTCCTTTCGGGATGTTTGTAAATTTAACTTCGGGGTGTGCCTATGTGGATATCTGCAATACCTCACCATGAAGCAGCTAAGCTTGGTACAGGCCAATCGGTTGATGCTGTCTGCTTGCTATGTTTTTTTGACCTCCGACCTGCTGGGGCTGCTGGGGCGAGGTCTTGTCCAATGAGCTGAGCCCAGCTGATTTTTCCATGTCTAGTCGGAGAACAGAAGCAAAGTCGGAACTCCAACCTGAGATGATAGCCTTGCCCAAGCTTGAGTCACCTCCGTTTCAACGGTTGTTGGGATTGGGCACAGGACGCCCAACACGTTCAAGATGAGGTGTCGCCACATTACAACGGCCAGGGGTGCCACAAGATTGGCCGAGCCTCCCATTTTCATGCCAAACACTGGGGAAATGGAGAAGCAGGGCGCATTGGAAGGATAGCGCTTCCCGTAAAAGACAGCTTCAAGCTGGGCTGCGGACACACTACAGAGGTGGGATGTGGCAGGGCTGCGCAGTTACGCTCGTGTCGCCATTCTTTGACTGACTAGCTTTGATGCTCTTGACTCGAAGCTCAGAGACGTGTCTTTTACATGTGTTGCCCAGGTGCCATCGAAAGCAGCCAAGCGCGATAGACAGACCTTCAAGCATGACATGCGCAGCATCCAGGCCGACGTTTCACGGGGGTTTCCTGACCACGCTGCTGAGCAGATGGTGGCCAGGAGCAGGTGAATAGCTACCTGATCTCGCAGTCGCAGTCCAGCTCCAGGCAGAGACTGCCCCTCGTTTCATCGGACTCTCGTAAAGACGTCGTAGAGTCGGCTGAGTCGGCTCAGGCCTGGCAGATCCAGCGAGGCGACGCGACGGCACTTTTTGTGGGGAATGTGTTTGTCGAATGTGGTTTGCATGTCGCACCCGTCCTTTTGGATTTCGGGAGGATCTGCAGAGCCTGCAAGTTGCCACGGTGCCGCAGGCGCAAAGAAGATGCATTGTCTAGACGCCACATCAGCACGGCGCATGATCGCCACATGAATTCCCTTTGGCGAGGCCGTTACAGATGAAATCCGGAATCAAGGTCCGGCTCTGCCACGTGCTTAGGCATGTGTCTTGCGAAGCTTCTGTGCTTTTCGACTGGGCTCCCAGGCGGAATGTCTACCGGTTTCCCCCTCCGGAGTTGGACATGGCCTTTGTGTCCAAGCACTGGTAAGCCGCCGCCAAAATCCGAGAAGTGGTATTTTCATCGAGACATGAGTGCGAGGGTTCCCACTACGACACACACTAACATGACGAAGTTATGTAGCATGGAATTTCTGAAGGCCAAGCAGTGCTGTTGCCATACATAAATTTCAACAACGTGCTTGACATGTTGCAGTCGGCAGGCCGTTTTGGTCTTAGGAAACATCACTGATGTTTTCAAACAGTGTTTTCGAAGAATACATCCAATAGGATGAGCAATGGCAGGTACGTTCGCCTCACCACGATGAGCCATCCTGGCCCGATAGACAACTACCAGTGCCGCATGTTTCGTTGCGATTTTTCAAGTTGAAGATGCCTTCTTCATGGTTGTACCGATGCTCAGATGTCAAAGGTACTTGTGTCCACATGGAATGCTAGGCTACTCCTCCGTTCGAACCTCGGAGTCTTGGGTCAGGGCAAGAGCAAAGAACTAGGGCATTGCGGCAACGGCCCTGAGGCTGAGATGGCCGCAGAGCCTTTCTTCCCCATCTCCAGAAAGCTCTCGCAGTCTTTGCTAGGCGTTGCCAGGAGACCGAAAGAGTGTTGACTCGGCGACAAGCTTGCGTACGCAGGTAAATATGGGGGTGGCCCCGAGATTTCGAATCTGGATGTCTGCAGCAGGTTGAGCCCAAGGAACGTTGTACCAAACATAGCACCCACGACGACATCTGTCAGGTGTCAGAGGCATCTTGATGCGTACAACCAGAGAAAGCAAGCAGAGCCACTTTTCTTGCAAGAAATGCCTGTGGTGATAGGAAGGGGGGGGGCCTTAGCTCTGGGGGACCTGAAGTCCGTTGTGCAAATCGCCAAGGTTTGACCTCGTGTCCAAGTATGACACGAAGGACCGAAGCCAGTGGCGTCTAAGACTTTGGAGAGGCCCGACGTCTAGTACTAGTCCACGCAGGATACTGGAGATGGACAGGGCTGGTATCTTGTCAATGTGCTTTGGGTGCCTGGGCGGCACTTTCGCACTGCGTCGCTGCAGCTGTTCTGTCCATGAAAGTTCCTTTTGCTTCCTCTTGCTGCCAAGGTGAACGAATGGAAGCGGTATGTCAGGGGCGAGCGGGTGCACAGCATCCAGGTCTGCTTGCTTTTCGAAGCAGGTGCTGCTGAGAAGTCGGCGGTAAGAGGGCCTTCTCCACAAATCCTGTCTGCTACAGTATTATCATTGTGCCTTTCGTGCTGAATTCGCATCTGAAGCCGCGTAGTCTCTGCCTGTTGTCGGCAGGACATGTGCGCACCTGGGCCCATAAGCCAAGCGCATCTCTTCGACAAGGAAGACCCGCAAAAGCTTCGGAAGAATCTGAGGCCCAAGTCAATGTCCATGAGCTGGCACTAGCCTCCTAACATCTTGCCCTGAAGGCTGAAGCTGGACTACATTGGCGTGAATGCCCGCGTGTGGCAGTTGACTTACGCAATTCCCGTCGAACATGGGACGGAAGCAGAGCTGCATGATTGAGGGGCAGAGCAACTCTTGGCTCCTCAGCGTTCCGCGATGTGTTTCATGGACTCGAAGTTCCACAGACGTGCAAAGATGTTGGGACCACTGCTAGTCGGCATGCGGCATGAAATGGCATATGTTTGTTAAAACCAAAAAGTCATTATGCTGAGGTGGAAAGTTTTTGAATACTCAACTAGTGGCAAAGTGATGAAGGCTTCGAAAGAGTAGGTACATCAAACTCGTTCAATGCCTTGCGGCTGTCGCAGTGGAGTTGGCATATGTTGCCTGAAGATGGCTTGTATTCCCGCATCCGTCATTCAGGTCGCTTTTCATGCACGTTCATGGCGGTGGTCCTGCCATTGTCCGAGACGAACTTGACATGTACTCTAAGGACGCCTTTGCACCTTTGCACGGCACGCTTCCATTTTTCTGTTATGGGATGTAGCGCAATAGTCTCGGAAATTAATTGCAGATGGTAGCAAGCCTGGAGTCCGGACGGTGCCAACAGTTCTGTGCGTGATGCGAGCAGTTTGTCTGCAGCAGCTGGCGCTTGCATCATCATGCTTGAGAGGCTCCTCTAGCAGCATCTGGCAGCTAGCAGCCCTAGCATCGTGTAGAAGCCGGAGAGAGCCAAGCCGGAAGCGCGATCTTGTCGCCGGCAGGAGCTGCCTGTGGAGGACCTCGTGCCCGAGGAGCTGTGCCCGCCAGGCGCACAAAGAGACTACGCGCGCCTTTAAGCTCTAGCCACCCCCGCCGCCCCGGTGGAGAAGCTTGCGCCAGTTTGAGAGGCTTGCGTCCTGCCCTGTGCCAGGCAATGACTTTGCAGTGCGAACCTCCAAGCAGTTCGTCGACGAGTGCCATGGAGATTTGGAGCCAGCGGCTCAGCATCTCTGGGAGTTGAGGGTATGGGTTGGCGCCTGCATGAAAGACGGGATGCGGGGAGCCAAGAACATTGATGGCCCTGGACCGGACACGAGTGGGTCAGTCTTGGTGGTCCGTTCTCCTCTCCTAATAACCTCCCTAACTTGTCCGCATCTAGAGTCTAGAGATGTCTAGAGTCCAGAGACAGTTCCAGGTGATCTCAGCCAGCATGTGTCCATGATCGCTTGCACATGTGTTTTGCCCGACTATGAGAGTCCGTCAGGTTGTACAGACGCAAATATGGAGGCTGGATGTTTCTAGGGACGCACCCATGCATGTGTTTGATGATGCGCAAAGTTTCGAGGAGGTGATGACACCACCACCGCCACCACCGCCAGCCAAGTTGATGCAAATTGCGAGACAGGCACTTTCCTCATAGCAGCCTCATGGCAAGACAGCAGGTTTATTCAACTCGTTACGTGACCTGTGGGAAGGCAAGAACGAAGTCGGCGAAGAGTCGCCTTCGCACAGCTTGCATGAGGCTGGCTTTACTTCAACTGTGCAATCTGCTACCGCTTCGGCCTCCAGTCCAGGACACACGGCCGGACGGGTCAGCAAGGTGCGGGCCTCCGGCTTGGGTGAGACTGATATAGGTGTAGCGGTAGCGAGATTTGCCTCCTTCTAAGGTTCGCCACCGGGGCGGAGGATGAAGACCTCCTGAATTGCACCCAGATTCTTGCCCTTTGTGTATGCAAGGGCCGAGCTGCTCGCTGCTAGTGGGACTTACTAGTATCCAAGTCTCGGAGGCCACTGGAGCACAGCGTCGATGCGCCTGGAGAGAATGTCAGAGTCTGATGTTTCCGGTCGTACGAAACATTGGTGTTCGACACTTCTCTGTCGCTTGAGAGCATTGAGGCATTGATTGTGCAGGCTAGCTGAGCGCCATAAGTGCGACCTCGTTTTTCCAGAGCAAACAGCGGCTCTCGGAATGCGCCGCGATGTGCCGGTCAGCCGCAGGATCCACCTTGATCCCTGGAAGGACCGGAGTACGCCCTTCGATCAGAGTGCAGCCGCAAAGTCTCTAGGATCGGTAGCTCGGCGATTACAGCGGGTCCATGACATGATTGTGAAGGCAACTCTGCAGACGCGGTAGAGTCCCCTTTGACAAGGGAAGCCGTGGCACAGACGCGAGAGACCGTTGCCTGAAAAACAGTCCTTTTCATCCCCTGCGGAGCATGCGCTTGTCATTCCGTGAAACGATGCTGTACGTTTCGAAGAGGCATTCAAATCTCTGGGAGTGCAAGGGGGTTCCACGGCTTTCGGCATATGCAGGTTCTACAAACCAATCCGCTTCACACAAGTTCGTGCAGACAAGCCAAGCATTCTATTCTAAGAGAGCGGACCGGTCGCACAACTGCACACGATCAACATGAACCTGATCGCGCATTCAGCGTGTATCCACCTCCTCGTCCTCACTGCTTCCTGCTCGACTGACCGCCCCCAGCACTCCGCCATCCCAGGAGCCCTGCAACAGTCCTCAATGTTCGCAGCTGCGTGTTTTCTGCTTGAGTCCAGGCTCCGGAGACACACAGCATGAAAAAAGCCGCTAGCCCTAGACTCGACTCACTGCAGACAAACTTCAGTTCGTGCCCAGACGAGAAACAAGACGAACTTGCCGACAGCTTCTTGCATGCATGCCACATCCACATTCGAGCTGGCACACAAGTATCAGCCCGTCTTGAAATAGACAGACAGTAGCATGCTTGCATCGGGCTGCCGCGCATCAGCTGTTTCGCTACAGGCCTTGTCAGTACGTTTGTTTAAAAAGCCGAGTCGGGTTGTTCCGGGCAGTGCAAGGCTCCTCCTTGTCGTGGCGAAGGCGGCGAAGGGCTCCATGTGCTCCAAAACGGTGGGAGGTTAAGCCTCAACCAGAGCTCAGCTTCACCTGCCGGGGCCTCGTCGGTCTGGGCTGCCACAGCTTTGGGCCTCTCCTTCGTAGGGAGTCGAAGGAGGCGCAGAAGCTGCAGACTTGCGGCGGTGACGACTGCAGAGCGGACTGCGTTGCCTCCGAAAGCCCTCTCGTTTCTGCAGTCAGCGGACGAGTCTGCAACTAGTACAACTGCCCCTGGCAAGGGAGGGAATGCTTCCCTGGAGGGGATTCGACGGGCCGACATGGTGTGGCAGAGAATCAAAGAGCGGTCCGCACGAAAAGCGCAGGGAGAAGACCTGGACCCACCGAAGCAAGTAGTTCGACGTGGAGAGACGAAGTCTCCTGCAGGAATGCAGTCTTTTGATGTTGTGGTCTGCGGCGGCACACTTGGAATTCTAGTGGCAAGAGCATTGCAGAATGAAGGGTACGCCGTTTGCATAGTGGAACGTGGTGTTGTCCGCGGGCGTGATCAAGAATGGAATGTGAATGCTCAAGAGCTCGAGCCGTTGATTCGGCAGGAAATCATCAGCAAAGAGGAAGCAGACCAAGCGTTGCAGTCCAGCTGGCCGAGTTCGCGTGTTGGCATGGAGGGCGCTCACGCAGTTGAGTTCTATGCTGGAGCGCTCAATGCTGGTGTCTCGCCAAAGGTACTCGTGGATGCCGCTCGGCGCCGATTTGAAGCAGCAGGGGGAGTGATCATGGAGCAGACGATGCTGGATGCAATAGACATCTTCGATGATGGGGCCGTGCTGCAGTTGAGCCGACAAGCTGAAGGCAAAGTGCAGGTGAGGGCAAGGCTTGTCCTGGATGCCATGGGAGCGGGGTCACCGATTGTTGCGCAGGCACGTAACGGTGCACCGCCAGATGCAGCTTGCTTGGTGGTTGGCACCATGGCAAGTGGGTTCCCAGCGGAAGCCAACAAAGCTGGCGACTACCTCTACGCCTGCATGCCCAAGAAGGGGTCGAAGAAGTCTGGCCATCAAGCTTTCTGGGAAGCGTTCCCATCAGAAAACGGTGGCAGGGATGGAACAGAGAGAACAACATACTACTTCACATATGTGCTGCCGGGCCTGGATAACTTGCCGTCGATCACTGACGTATTCGAGGAGTATGTCGACGCATTGCCAGAGTATCAGAACGTCCCTTATCTGCAGAAGCAGTCTTTGGTCAAGGACAGTTCAAAGCCTCCTCCCTTGATCTGAGGTCCGCTTGGAGCAGCTGGAGGTCAGGAGGGCCCTGTGTGCCAGTTTCGTCGCTTACAAGGACTGTCCTCTCCCAACGCCATTCGACCGGGTGCTCCAAGTCGGGGATGCTGCGGGCATCCAGTCTCCTCTCTCTTTTGGCGGCTTTGGAGCCTTATGTCGACATCTCCCAAGACTGAGATTGGCCATCTCCGAGGCTTTGCATGATGATCTTCTGAAGGCCACGGATCTGAGCCAAATCAATCCATACTTACCAAACCTCTCCATGCAGTGGACAATGTACAGGTCCATAGCCCAACCACCCGAAGATGAGCCGGAGTTTGTGACACGAATGATGGGAGGCATTTTGAGCGCCTCAGCACGTTGCGGTGATGAGGTGATGATGCCTATCCTTCAAGATGTCTTCAGCCTTGGCTCCTTGGCCCCTACATTAGCTTCCTGGATGTCACGAGATCCCGCCATAATTCCGCTCTTTGTGCGAAGCATGGGCGTCTCAAATGTGGCAGCCGCTCTGAGCCACTTGGCCTCGCTGACCCTTTACACGGGCCTCTCGAAGTTGGAACCTCTGCTGCGGCCCTACGCTGACACGCTGCCAGCCGCGGAGCGCTTCCAGTGGCCGCATGCCAAAAGTACGTGAGCTACGCTTTAAAGCACGCTAAAAGCCCAAGTTGTGCTTTAACTAACCAGCTAGTGATTCTCGTCAGAGCACGCATCTTTCCATCTCAGAGCTTCTTCATTCTCCGAGTTTTTTCAAGTGAGCTGTCTTTGAAGGCACCGGCGCTTCGAGGCGTGGAAGTACGGAAGTGGGTTGGACTACGAGCACTGAAGGTGGACCTTCAAGTCAAGAGTCGAAGTTATGTGATTCTTAGGGTAAAGTTTTCGGCGCTGCCATAGTGAAAAGCAGCATGCCCGGTAGTTTTCGAGTTTTCGAAATCTGCCTGAAGGCAGCATTTCTAAACCCGCTAGCAATCGCAAATGGCCGAAGCAAAACTGCCCCGCATTCTCCCTGCCTGACCATCTTGGAAGCACTTGAGGACTTTGCACACTTCGTGCATCTTTGTCGGACCGACTCCCCTTAGTTCCCGTAGCAGCATTTCATAAAGCGTCGCTTAAGTGCGTCGCTTGGACCAACCAGCGACCCGTCAAGACAAAGAACAGCAGACAGGCCACTGACAAACAGCCCAGTTTGCAAGGTGTGTCTGCTTTAGCAATGCCATGCTGATGCCATGATGACTCGACTCCGGCCAAAGGAAGCCGGACAAGGTACACTATCCTCTTGCCGGGTCTGTGGGCACGAGCAAATTGGCTGTAGTGCTTGCGCCGCCGTCTGTGAGGGGCATCGCAGTGTGATGCTTCTGCCCCTTGCCGATGTCTTTAACAGCTTGCCCTGCCCTCAAAGATTGGCCGGGCTGCCACACATGCCACGTGGACTCCATGCTGACTTCAGGAAAGATTGGCGATGGTAGCCAGCACTTCTGGGGATGCGTATGGGTGCTTCTGACCTGTGTTGTGGACAGTGCTTCTGTTTCAGGGGCTTTCGTGGATGTGGTCAGGTCTGGGTGTCGAATGGAGGGTCATGCGATGCCGACAGTGCCTAGTGTCAAGCGGTGCACCAAGATGCAGCGGACTCTCTAGACAATGACAGGTCAGAACAGCGCGAGCTGGCCCTGACAGCATCGGCTGCCTGCTTACATTTCGTAGGCCCCGATGATCCCAGAGCGGTCGGCAATAGCAGACCCCGTATCGGCTGGGACGCCTCCGTGACTTGTTTTGATCGAGGTTGCATCAAGTGAGAACAAAGGCCGGGACCATGTCATTTTCTTGAGGGGCATGCAAAGCACAAACAACATCAATGTCATTCTCGCGGCGTTTCTGTGCCTTGCCAGGCAACCGTGCACACATCCTGCAGTACGAGCAATTGCCGGGCACGTCAGTTTTCTTTCTGACTTGGAGACATGATGTGCTTTCCCGCCCGAGGCTTAGCATCCAGCAGGACCAGTGTTTGCCTCACCTTGGCTTGTCTGGTCCGTCTGGGGCGTTTGTAGTCTGCAGACACGAGCCTTCCTAAAGATGGCGAGGCATGCCCTTGCAATGGAGCGGAAGGATGCGGAAGTCGCACATTTGAAGGCACATGCCGTTTGTGCAATCACTTGGCATGGCATGGGTACGGTTGGCCTTTCTGTTGGAAGGTGCGTTTGGCGGCTCTGGAGGCTAGAAGTTCAGTGTTCGCCGAGTCGTGGACGAGTGCATTTGGCCAGGGCCACCTTGCCCCCCAAGATGCCGTGGCCACCGCCGTCCAGACCAAGGCTTCTTGGCGCAGTGAACATGCGGCCTTCGCAGGGAAGTTTAGGGCCTCTTGTCAGGACGAGGAGTGTGCATTGATGATGGCGGCGAAGCACAAGGAGACGTGCAGCAGACGAGGCGGGCAGTCATTTGCGTATGCAGCGCAGGAGCTTGAACTCCTAGTTGTCGCCTCAGTTCTAGAGCTCCCATGGCCATGCTAAACAGTCAGCATGGCCCAGCAGCCTAGTGTTCATCCTGAAGCGGCAGCTTGCATCAACTTGTGCCACGAGGCCGCCTTGCTGCAGATGCGAGAGCAGCAGATAGAAGATCTGCAGTCACAGTGTGAGGCACTGCATGACAGGCTTTCACTAGATGACAATCATCTGCTGCACTGCCAGCCAGATGTCTGCAGAGACAGGAGTCGCAGCTGCAGCTGGCTAGCTGCAGGCTCTCTGCTCATTCAGACTTCCGAGTGGGGACAGCGGGGCCAGAGAAAACAACAGATCCAGCGCGGCTGTTTTGATATCCTGGACGGTGTTGTCTGGCGTCGTGGTTAACACGCGTTGTGTGTACAATTCGGTGCTAACATCTATGTAGAACACCTTCGGTTCTGAACATTACGATGTTTCGAGGGCCTCGCCTGGAAGCGCGACACCACTACCTGGAAGCCATACGGCAGGCGCTTAATTTCAGAGGCATAATTTCAGAATTGTTCCGGATCTCTTTGGTGCAGCGCAGGTCGACTTGATGCTGCTGCGGGAAGCTTAGACGAAAAAAGGTTCTTGCTTGTGACAGGGTTGCTTCTGTCCACATCATTGCTTCAAACTGAAAGGACGGCCAGACTCGAAGAGAAGCCCTTCCCTCAGAGACCAGGTTTGATTTTTGAATGATTGTAGATGCATGCATAAGCATTGTGTACATAGCGTAGACGACGTGCATATTTAAAAGGGAACCGTAGCTTACAACTCAGTCTCTCTCTCTCTCTCCCTCCGTTCCCTCCGTCCTGTCTGAAGATATAGAAGATATATGTATATATGCTCTCGGGTCC